CGTGTTGACATCATATAATGTTAAGTTGACTTTAGATAAAGACGGTTCTACATAATATAATGTTGTTTTGACTCTATATAAGAATGGTTCCACATAATATATTCGTAATTGCACATCATATAATGAAAGACTGACATCATATAAGGACATATTCACATCATATATTGTTAAGTTGACTCTATATAAGGATGGTTTCACATAATATATTGAAAAATGCACATCGTATAATGAAAGATTGACATCATATAAGGACGTGTTGACATCATATATTGTTAAGTTCACTCTATATAAGGATGGTTTCACATAATATACTGAAAAATGCACATCGTATAATGATAGAATGACATCATATAAGGACGCGTTGACATCATATAATGTTGACTCTATATAAGAATTATTCCACATAATATATTCATAACTTCACATCATATAATGACAGACTGACATCATATAAGGACAGATTGACATCATATATTGTTATTTTGACTCTATATAAGGATGGCTCCACATAATATATTCAAAAATGCCCAACGTATAATGATAGATTGACATCATATAAAGGCACGTTGACATCATATATTGTTCAGTTGACTACATATATAGACGGTTCTACATAATATATTAATGAGTGCACATTGTATAAGGAAAGGTTGACTCAATATATTGCTATATGGACATAACAACGTTTAGGTTTATAATTATAAGACAGTCAAGGCTTTCCATAGATCACGACGATCTTACTTTATGTTCTTCTCCATGCAAACGACACAATGTTAATTTACTGTAATAATTGGTATCTAAAGGTGAACTTAAACAAAACTATAATAGTAATTTTTGGTGCTTTATAAACTGGGAATTTTAGATTTTATTTAGGAAATGAAAATATTAAGACATTCTTTAGCAATGGTTTGTTCCATAAAGCTAGAAACAAGCATCTAAGGCAATGTATTTACTATTTACCGCTAGATCTTATTAGTATTACATATACATATTACATATGAATCTTCCTTTTAGTTGTAGATAACTGTTATTTTTTAATTGGAAGTGCAGTCTGTTAAATGATTATATCGATACATGTACTTTTTTGTACCAGAACTGTTCATTCTCTGTTATATAAACATTTAAATGTGTTATGTTCTCCAAATTGTATTGAAAAATGCTTGGGTGAAAATAAGGCATGTTTTGTTCTGTTTTGTTCTTTTCCGATCAAGTTGGGCGAAGTGAAAATATTTTCGGCAAAATTTTCGCCCGACTTCGCCCTAGAAGCAGTCGCTGCATACCCGGTGACCTGCAAAATGGATTATAGTATATCAAAGATAACCTCACACACCTTACAGTACGATTCACTATGCAAAGATCAGAAAATACCACACAGCTTGCAGCCCTTTGATTTACATAATTGATAGTAATTGGTAAGACAATTATTCGGATGTATTCGCCAAATAGCATACAGTTTGGAATTTATTTTTGCAACATTATAAGCTACAAAATGCCAACACTTATACAAATATGTCAGGAAAGTTCAGCTCTGCTTATATAATATATGGCATATAACTGGCATTTTAATGGCTAAAAGCATAATTTAAACACTGCAAAAATTAACTTTTGATTTAGTACGATGAAGTGATAAATAAAAAACATTGGATTATTGTGATTAACAAAGCAATCTGAAAAACTCACCGCTGTAATATAATAATTATAATCATAGATAGCGTATTTATTTACATCAAAAATATGAGCTATAGCAATTCAACAAACGATACAGTGACTTTAAATATTATGGTTAAATTGTATCAGGAGTTCGGGCCACCAAAGTATATGCATGATATAGAAATGGCATTGGCTTTAGTTGGTATTCTGTTCAACGTTTGTCACGGAATAGCACTGATAAACATGGTAACGACTTGGAGTGTCCATATGAAATTGATATTTAGCCTGACTGTCTCTGATATGCTCATATCAATTCTTCATTTAGTCAAGCGCTTTTTTGAATTTCCAATTTTGGTATCAGTACCTTTAAAATTTGACCTAAGTTCAGAACAGTTGTTCTTGTCATTAACTTATACGACGATACATCTTGCGCAAACAGCGACAATGCTCGGATTTGCAGTTAATCTGTTTATAGCAACGAAATATCCATTACATCATGGACATCTGATGTCAGCACGCAGATGCAACATCGTCGTTTGCTGTTTCTGGATAGTGAATGGATTTGTAGTTGCTTCTATATACTTTTTGTGTAAACATCATGCAAAAGATTCGATTGAAAATATTTCTGAAGACTTTAAAGCTTTGGCGATTGTATTTTTTACAGTCGCCATTGCATCAACAATATCTGCTATTGTGTTGATAGTGTTGTATTCGATTGTTTTTTTCATGATATATAAACTGAAAGGGCGTTCGCCTCGTTCTATATCACTACGGAAATCTGTTATTACATTTTTGTCTGTCATGATCACATATCTTGTCTTTATGATACCAGGGACATGGTCTTTTCTTTTTGGAGTTATTATAATTCGTCACCATGATATATGTAGTCGGGCCTGTGTTTTAAGGTTTGGTTTCAATGTTCCGGTAATACTCTCATACTTTCATTTACTCAATTCAATTTGTGATCCCTTCATATATTTCATACGATTGCATGAAATAAGGGACTCTTACAAAAACATGTTCAAGAAAATATTTAACAGATCCTAACTTTCAAGTCAATGAATAAATTCATGAAATAGACAGATATGAAAAAAAATGCTTTTGTGGTTTGTTTGATATGCGCGCAAGTGTGTGTGCGCGCATGTAAATTATATGCGCACGTGTTTAAGAAATAACGTCACATACTTCAGATTCGGAAAGTAATTTCGTTATTTTACATGATTATGTATACTATCTAAGTCTTTCTACATAGTTTTGCAAAAAACACAGCTTAGAACTTAAGGTAGAAAAGATTGTTAAAGTAAACGTATTTAGAAAAAATGGGGGTTATTGTCAGGAGTAAAAAATGTGAATACGGAAAGTTATAGATAGTGTCAATCATTTTAATTTTTTCGGAGTAATTAGCTCAACTTTTCGAAGCAAAAACACGTGGAGCTATTACCATGACTTTCTCATCGGCGACGTGAACCTTTTTTATAAGTTCCTTTTCCTCAAACAATATACGAGCTATCGGTTTCAAACTTGGTGTCATAAAAGGGCGAAATTTCAAAAGGGCATATTTTTTTTTTTTTTTTGTAAAATTAGTCTTCAATTTTCATGTATTTTTCTGTTTTAAATGCTTTTGATAGAAAACTCTTCCAGATATGTATACCTTTTTCGACTTAAATTTTTAGCCTGGTTAACCTTATTGTTAAGTGCTAATTTTCTCAGAAACTATCAAAAATTATCACTAATCTAGCTTTGTATATTAAAAATGCATTATCTCTTAGAACTACATTTACTTACAATTAATTGTAGTTCATCTTCATATGATAATTGATATGACATTTAAATATGTTATTTCACTGTGACAATTATGCATATTGGATATTGTAAATTGTATATATTGGTATATATGATGATGTACTTATTGTACAAGTCTTGAATAAAATTGTTGTTCTGTTCTGTTCTATCACTATCAAAATATGACACACTTCCATAAGTGCAGATTATGCAAAATTTCAGTTTTGCAAAATTATTCCTCCTGTCTTATTAAAAAAATTCTGATTAGGCTTTCTCAAATATTGTCAGTTATTTACTTCGTAACCTTGTGATGTTTTTTTTTTTTTTTTGTTTTTTTTTTTTTCAGTTTTGCCCCCTTTGACATAAAATCTATAGGGTAACTTATTTCTTTCGGTATATTTCTCAAAAGTATCAAAGATATTCATTTTAAAAGGCCTGGAGTATACTTGGTCACTATTAAGTTTGAAAATGTATGGAGAGAATAATGCTGAAAGCCATTTTTGCTTTATTATTTCCCTTTTTGACTTGAAATAGTTTCCTTTTATTGAAAAATCGCTTAGGTATTTACTTCAACCTTGACATCTGTACTGTTTATCAAATGTAGATTCGACTGCTAAGTATGCAGAAGTACGTCTCCTTTATTTAACTATGCAGTACTGCAACAAGTGGAGCTCGCAGTATGTGACAGTAATGAAATTTTATTGCCCGCGAGTTACATAATCTGTCATAAAACCGTCCGGTTAGCTCAATAGGTAGAGCGTTGGACTGTGAATCGGGCGCCCCGATTCACGGACGGTGCAGGTTGCTTTCGTTGTGATTGATCATGAAATCCTTTCTACGGTCATTCGCACTGTACCTCTGCTCTGGCATGTACAGAAGCTTCAGTTCTTTGCGAAAGTGAAGGCAACTATAGTACTAGTAAACTGCTTGACAGCTTGCCCCGGAACGATGCAGTGGTTTAACTGTATTCAATGTAGCTTACTGTCGTGATCCGGAGTGAAAACTACCAACACCACCACTATAATCTGTCATAATTTGTACTTCGCCCTTCCTTTCGTTACGTGAATGTAAAGCTGGGTGTCATAAAGATAGGCAAGCGATCAGATTAAATGATTTCTCCTATGCTAAAAAAATAATAGATGTGATAGAAATTATTTTTCTATTTAATCCTAAATTAAATCACGTCAGAATATCCAGTTTACAAAAATTGTAAATATACAATGTTTTTCTATCTATACGTTTGTCTGTGTATTAAGTGATGCTTAAAAGGGTCATGGTGTGTACGCACAAGTGAAATTTAACAACAATAAGAAAAAGTGGAGAATTTTTTTCTATAATCGACTAACGAGGGTGTGAATTTTTAGGAGCACGCGTTTTTTGTTGTTGTTTTTTTTCCAATGCAATGGTTTTGGTTTTTAAGCATTTATTCCGAGGACTGTTAAAATGTTAATACAAAGGCGATTTTTACTAATTTTTGACAAAAATGCTTATCTTTTCGCTCTTTAGGATATGAATACATAATGCATTTCGTTACGATCTTTATGATAGATTCGGTCGATTATATGGTGACCCAGTCTGTATCAAAACGAGGCGTTGCGATCAACAAATATGGCTGCCGTAGATCAGAATTCCAATGCTGTCTTGCAAGGTTTAGCTCGGCACGTGAATACTTTAGGCGAAGACAATAAATTAGCGCGAAGGAAGGCTCTAGAAAATATTAGAAAAGATACTTTTTCAAGAAAACCACCATTAGACCCAACGGAAATTAAACCAATTCTGAATGAAATATTGAAACCTTTGTTGAAGGAATTTTCAGATCCAGTCGAAAAATGCAGGGAGCTGTCATTAGATATTTTACGAAGTTTCTTGAAGAGTGTGGAAAAACCAGAAGAATACTTACCTTATGTCATCCCAGTTCTCGTACAAAGACTTGGGCAACCAGAAATTACAGAGCCTTCAGAGGAACTTAGACTGATACTTGTTGAATTTCTTAAAGAAATTCTAGAACGTTCTGAGAAAAATATTGCAATTTATGTGGATGACATGATTAAAATTTTGCAGCGTACTATCATAGATCCTTTTGCAGATGTAAAAAAGTTGGCATGTCAGTGTACATCAATTTTGGCCAAGGCTGTTCCGGAACATTTTCATATGCAATCAGAATCTCTAATCAAACCTTTATTACAAGCCATTTCTCACCAGCACTCAAAAGTCAGAACAATAGTAGTTTATACTATAGGTAATTCATACTTTACTTTTCATAAATTAGGTTCTAAGTCGCAGGGCCTTGTTTAATAACTAGTTCTTGGGTGATTAAATGTTTGTTTTGGTATAATATTTTGTTATATAAAATCATATTCTTTGTGTACAAAAATTTGAGCAGCACGAAATACCCAAATATTGCTCAAATATATCCAAATACTGCCCAAATATACTAAAAATAAATGTTTTACACCAAAAAAGTGTTGTTTTAATTATGAATATGATAAACACTTTCACTAAGATATAATCAAACATACCCAGATACATTTTCCTATCATTGTGTTTTGAACCTTACCAAGATATACCCAAATACAGTATACTCTATTGAATCTATTTAATCCAAAAAAAAAAAAAATAGGATGGACACTTGTATGAAATTTCAACAAAATTATACCTAAAAAAATTTAAATGTAGACAACAAATATTATCATTTCTTTATCTTAAATTGCAAGTTTATTCATTAATGAACCTAGATAAGCAAATGTCACACACAAGTTTATTTTCTTACAACATCTGAACTGTTCATTTCAACGGATTCAATGAAAGTTAAAGCCGGCAAAGTCATATTATTTTATAAATATTTTTTCATTTTTCTCATTATAATCTATATCTTATGCAATCAAAAATGAATATTACTATATTTGGGTATTTCTTGCTGCTGCAAATATTGATCATTTTAATAGGGCTCTCACAACGGAGATTTAATCGCCTAAAGAATCTGAACTCTGCTGAGTTTAAATATCAAAGGGAAATTTATTAACTGTAGTTATCCACAAGCTCTGGTTAGATCTTCGGGTAAGGCAGAAACAATTCTGTGACAATGGATCCTGAAGGAACTTTGAGTCTTATGTTCATTTCACTAAATTGAAATTGGGGATCAAGTGTAATGGCCAGTCAAAGAATTCAGAACCAGAAAATCACAACCATTAGGGTAAGCAGTGTGTATCTTAGAAACATACTTTCAATAAATGATGCTTTGCATAAGCTACTTGCCATAAACTTGGTAAAGTGATCTTAAATTGACAAATGTTTAATCTTGAAGCTTTATATTATTTAGGGGATGTCATACAGTATGGTAGTAACAAACCAGTGGACACAGTGGTATCACACTTAGCTCAGCGATTATTTGATCAAACCCCTGCTGTAAGATTGGCAGTGATTAAGGTTGTAGGTAACTGGTTATTGGACCTTTGTGATCGCTACTCGTTCTGGAACAAACTTATTCCTCTACTTCTCACTGGTTTATCGGATGAACAGCCTTCTATCAAGGAGACAGCTGACTCTCTCTGGCATGATGTTGGTGAGTACACCCATCTTAGAATTTTAAAGAAATATTGATTTTACTTTCTCATAGAAAAAGAAATTTTTCACAATTTATCTCAGAACAATTGCTATGTAAAGAACTGTACAATTGCCAATGACATATATGATATATGGTAATAAGGTATTTATAATTATATAAGGTATTTATTATTAGTTTCTTGAATGGTAATATGATACTACACTTTGATCTTCGATATGGTATTAATAGTTTCTGTATACATTTTTTGAGGCTATCAACATTTGTGATGTATGTTTTGTGTGTGTGTGTGTTCTTTGTTAGACTTTAAGAATGAAAATTTACTTAAATCAACCTTTTAGAACTTTCACACATACATATTGCTTATACATAATGTAGGAAAAGTATTTATTCGTTTATTTACATTTTGTGCATTAATATAGCTTATGTTTACAGAAGGTACACTAGCAATCAACAGTTGTTGAATGCCTACTGTGCTACAAAATGGTTGATCCCAGTGAAAACCAGAAGAGCCAGAATTATCTGCCAGCCAGAGTTATCTCCCTGATCAATAAGCTTTTAATTTTCTTATTATGGTAAACTCATTTGAAAAATATACAATGTGCCTCTTTTTCAACAGGATTAAAGTTTGCTAATGAGAATGAGGATGATCTGAAAGACAAGATGGACTTTGCAAAAGCTGATCCTAAACATTACCCACCTGGAGGTATGTCATGAACAGAGCATGCAGGGGTCATACTGCTGATAGTCCTTTTATATATTTGCTATAGTTTCAATTAAATGACTGAATCTTTCTAAACATGAATTCAAAAAAGTGGCTTTTTAAGAATAGTTTTTTTTTGGGGGGGGGGTGTATCTTCTGTTTTGTAATCAACCGTGTTTAAATTAACCTCTGGGATCTTAAAGTAACTTAAGGTAAAAGTTCATAAGTTAAAAACTTTTCACAGATGTTACAGAAATAAAGAAGAGTGGTACTTCTGGAAAACTGCTCTTAAGGGATTGTCAGATTTAGACTTACATTTCTTACTTATTTGAATATAAATCTATGTGATCAATTATTTTGCCAATAAATTGACTTTCGAATTCTGTTCAGTGTAATAATTGACCATGAAACCTCCTCTTAGAAATGCACATTGTATATATTTAAGTCTGGCTCCTATTGCAGTGGAAAGGCCAAATCTTGGGTGCAGAACCTTGATGATGCGTCATGTTTCAAGAATATTGCCGGGTTTGATGCGCGATGTGGTAGACTGGGTAACGGAAACTCGTAAGAAGTCTGCTGGCCTCTTGTACTATCTTCTGCTGAACTGTGAGGAATATATTACTCAGCATATGGAACTTCTCACATCAGGAATGTATAAAGCATGTGCAGATGAGGAACAGTCTGTTGTTAAGGATGTAAGTCACATATTCTATAAATATAGGATACATTTTCACGGAGTGGTATGAAAATAAAATGTTGATTTTCATACCACAAGATGAAAATGAATCCTAAACTGATAGTAAAAACTTGAATTTTTTTGGGTAATATATACATTTTTTCTTTTTTGACATTACAATTTTAAACTTTGTGTATTGGCTGAATTTAGACAAAGGTAGTCAAGTAAGACACTGAAAATATGGAAAATAAAAATACTCATTTTATTTCATTAATATTTCTCATTATTTTATTCTTACGTATAAAATGAATAATTTGATCCAATACATGTTTGCTTTAGTATTTATTTTATTCAGAATTATAATTTATTCATTAACAAAGTTTAATTTATACATGTTGGTGTGGATTTTTGGCCGAAGGCCTATATTACTTGAAATAAACTTTTGAATTGAATTGTTTAAACCATATTCTAGAAAATTAATGTCACAAATTTGTGCGAGTATTTAAATCACATAATGTTAGCATTCACTGTTGACAGTATTTAAGCGCAATACATAGTTCTACCTTATTAATGAAGTGATTTTAAGCCAGCTTGATCTTTATTTGTTTGATCTTAAGTTAGATAGATACTTTATTTCCTTCAATGTACATGAAGACCTGATATGAAATTTATCAAATGGCTTTACATCCCATTATTAAGCATATGATAAAATTATTTTTTTAGCTCACCTGTCACAAAGTGACAGGGTGAGCTTTTGTGATCGCTTTTCGTCCGGCGTCCGTCCGTCCGGCGTCCGTCCGTAAACTTTTGCTTTAAATGACATCTCCTCATAAACCACTGAGCCAATTTCATCCAAACTTCACAGGAATGTTCCTTTGGTGGTCACCTTTAAAAATTGTTCAAAGAATTTAATTCCATACAGAACTCTGGTTGCCATGGCAACAGAAAGAAAAATCTTTAAATATCTTCTTTTAAACAACCCTAAGAGCTAGAGCTTAGATATTTGGCATGAAACATCTTCTAATGAGTGTCTACCAAGTTTGTTCAAATAAAAGCCCTGGGGTCAAAATTGGCCCCGCCCCAGGGGGTTAAGATTTTCCCTATATGGATATAGTAAAAACTTAAAAAATCTTCTTTTAAAGAACCCAAAGAGCTAGAGCTAAGATATTTGGCATGAAACATCTTCTAGTGAGTGTCTACCAAGTTTGTTCAAATAAAAACCCTGGGGTCAAAATTGGCCCCGCCCCGGGGGGTCATTGATTTTCCCTATATGCATATAGTAAAAACTTAAAAAATCTTCTTTTAAAGAACCTTAAGAGCTAGAGCTAAGATATTTGGCATGAAACATCTTCTAGTGAATGTCTACCAAGTTTGTTCAAATAAAAACCCTGGGGTCAAAATTGGCCCCGCCCCAGGGGGTCATTGATTTTCCCTATATGCATATAGTAAAAACTTAAAAAATCTTCTTTTAAAGAACCCAAAGAGCTAGAGCTAAGATATTTGGCATGAAACATCTTCTAGTGAGTGTCTACCAAGTTTGTTCAAATAAAAGCCTTGGGGTCAAAATTGGCCCCGCCCGGGGGGGTCATTGATTTTCCCTATATGCAAATATAGTAAAAACTTAAAAAATCTTCTTTTAAAGAACTGTAAGAGCTAGAGCTTAGATATTTGGCATGAAACATCTTCTAGTGAATGTCTACCAAGTTTGTTCAAATAAAAACCCTGGGGTCAAAATTGGCCCCGCCACAGGGGGTCATTGATTTTCCCTATATGCATATAGTAAAAACTTAAAAAATCTTCTTTTAAAGAACCCAAAGAGCTAGAGCTTAGATATTTGGCATGAAACATCTTCTAGTGAATGTCTATCAAGTTTGTTGAAATAAAAGCCCTTGGGTCAAAATTCGCCCCGCCCCAGGGGGTCATTGATTTTCCCTATATGCATATAGTAAAAACTTAAAAAATCTTCTTTTAAAGAACCCAAAGAGCTAGAGCTAAGATATTTGGCATGAAACATGTTCTAATGGGTATCTACCAAGTATGTTCAAATAAAAGCCCTGGGGTCAAAACTGGCCCGCCCCGGGGGTCATTGATTTTCCTTATATGTGTATAGCAAAAACTTAAAAATCTTCTTTGAAAAAACCCAAATAGCTAGAGTTTAGATATTAAGCATAAAACATCTTTAAGTAAATATCTACAAAGTTTGTTCAAATAAAAGCCCGGGGGTCAAAACTGGCCCTGCCCCAGGGGTGTCATTGTTTTTAACTATATAAAAATCTTCTTTTAAAAAACCCAATGAGCTAGAACTTAGATGTTTAGCATGAAACATCTTCTTATGGGTATCTACCAAGTTTGTTCAAATAAACAAATAAAAGCCCTTGGGTAAAAATTGGCCGGGGGGGGGGGCTATATACAGGTGAGCGACCTCAGGGCCATCATGGCCCTCTTGTTTAGAAAATTGCTTGTTTAAGATACCATACAGGAAGACATACATTTCAGACATACTGGATTTAATACTTGAGATTCTCTTTTCATCAACAGATACAAAGATCAGCTGAGCTTATTGGCTACTTTGTCGAAGTTGAAGTTTGGAGTAAGTTGATATTGAAGAGTGTTAAAAGCTCTCAGCATTTTACATCAATGATGGTACTATCCTCGGTTATACATGGAACAGCTAGAGACGATTTGAAACCTTACATACAGACAATTCTTGACACTCTAACAATACCAGATGTCTGTCAGAGTGTTCAGGTGTGTATCCACATGAAATTTATTACTTTTTTTCTAAACTTTATTCCATAAAACTAATCTTTGCAGCAATTACTTGCTTACGGAACATCAGTGGTACTACTCAAGTGCCGATTCCTGCCTGAATTAATGCATGGAGGAGTACCTCTATCAAAAAAGCTTGAAAGTCGCCATATGACCTTTAAAGGGTTTTTGTGAGGTAAAACTAAACCAGTTGAAAAATAGCTACTTACCGTTTGTAAATTCCTAATTTTGAGTAAAAAATGCTGAAATTCAAGGCAAGCCAATGTTAATGTTCTTAAAATATGTTCCAAAAATTAGAATAAAACGCTTTTCTTACTTGTACAGGTAGCTGTTCAGGTACAGTTGCTGTCATGTTTAGAGTCATTGCTGACTGTATCCAGTACAGATATTGCAGAATCATCAGAATCAACCCAGTCCGTGTTCAATCTACTACATACCATACTAGCCATTCAACAAGGAGAACTTATAAAAGAAAAGGTAATAAGATAATATGGAAATGTTTTTCGAGAAACATGCTGACAAATATTTTCAATTTTTTTTTATAATTCATTGCTTGTATCTGTGTACTAAGAGGTTATTGCTAGAATGATGGACATAATATTGTCTGAGAATAAAAGAAATGTCAGAGCTGTTCATATTAATAGTACTGTTACTAAAATGTACTTCTGTTGTGAATGCTTAAAGGATATACAGCTGTATATACGGCTCTTTGAAATTGGCAGAATATCATTATTATCCAGAGTATTGTAATAAAAATCCTGTTAAAATACTTATGATGAAAAATGTTTAATTATGTGATGCTAAACCAATTTGAAACAGGAATGGAAAAGTTGGTTAGCGATTATTTTATTCTTTTTGTTTATAATAATTTAGTAGTTTTAATGTGATACAATTTATCTGAGTGGATATATTGAAAGATAAACACTGTACTCTTTCTTGCTTTAAGTGTCCAAGATAATTTAATTTCCAACAATGGGTGCTGTAATAATCTTGTTTTCTGTAAGACAGTGCATTTTGAATATTTCAGGTATTTGAATTATTGGATAAGTTAGCTACTTTGGAGGGTCTTGACAACAGGAAAATGTTATATAAAACCCATACAAAACCTCTGCTGGACAGTTTTCATGATACGTACCAAGTGTGGACAACACATTCTGTGGAAAGACTCGTCTTTGATGGTCTTATATTAGAAGCAGGTTTGTCATTTGGACTAAATTTTGCAGATAGATTTGTAAATTAATTTGTAACTGTCTATGAAAATAATTTGTCTTTTCAATACAAAGTATATATATTGTGTTTATTGTTTATGATGATTGAGATACATTCTTTTAAGGAGAACTCAAAAGAAAACAAACATGACCATAGATCATTAAGGAATCCATTTTGGAGATTTTGTGTCACTGTATAAATCCTATGACTCTTACATGGTTGTTACCTATAATATTCTCTCAATTTAAGATATTACTATGTTTTGCTAAATAAAACAGGGGTGCATCTGGGGCCGAGTGGTTATGGTGTGCCCCCTCATTGCTGAAGGTTCAAATCCCACCTGGGCCTTTGGATTCTTTCATGTAGCTTGGTTGTGGAATGTCAAGTGGTTCTACTCAAGTATACTACCTATCTTAAAGCTTTTGTATTTGTATAATTCTAGGTCCAGTAGTTGGAGATATATTAGAAGATGTGATGCCAATACTGACAGCTAACTTTCATCCGGATAAAGATCCTGAAGTGCGTCTCAAATTCTTCTCCCTCCTTTCTCATCTTATGATGAACTGCAAGGACACTGTTGATTCTGGCGATAAATTTGCTGACTTTGCAGAAATTGTTGTTAGAGACATGATCCTGCCAAACTGTGTATGGAAAGCTGGGCGTGTGGCCAGCGCAATCAGAACCACAGCAGTGTCATGTGCCTGGGCTCTCCTGCAGAGTGGAGTGCTCACCAAAGAAAAGGTAATGAAAAACATGTTACTTGAGTTGTGGACCAAAATTTATTTTAGAAGAAAAAGAATGAATTTTGCTCCATTTATCCTGAAAGATATGGAAAAAATATTCTTGTATTAAAACTAAAACTTTATAAAAATGAGAAGGATTAGGATAATGCTTTAAAGTTTTAAGTTCTTTTACCTTGTTTTTTAGATGTATTTTGTGAATTTCCTCACTGGTAAAAATTTTAAGTTGTCCTGAAGTATTGTTGAATACTTATTTACAGGAATAATGTTTTTAAGGGGAGAGTGGGTCTAGTTGTAAAGGTGACTGCAGTGCCCTCAACCCAGGGATTACTGTAAGCTGTATTTTTTTAAATTTTCATCTTGATTGACCAAAAATTGGTATTAGATAGTTCCAAAATTAGAAGCTGGACAAGTCCATTCAAGAAATTAGCTACGCAGATAATGATTATAAAAAATGTTTAAGGGCTAGTATGAGATTTAAAGAATAGATATTCATACTTAATAAGTAATTATCTGATAAACGAAATAGAATAATATTTTTCTGTTTTATTCTCAGCTTGAACCAATATTGGACAACTTCATCACTCAGATGTTAGCTAGTATGGATGATGATAATAAGGGTACCAGGCTGGTTGCCTGCAGGGTCATGACTCGAACATTTGACCTTGCCGGTGGCAGTATCAACCAGGATCGACTACACAACATGTACCTGGAGCTGTTGAAGAGACTGGATGACAGCAGTGATGAGATTAGACTGATGGTTTCTAAAACGTTCCTGGCATATCTAGACAGCTTTGAGCAGGCTTATGATGTTCAACTTTATAGAGCTCACCTAGAAGCAATGTTTAAAGGCTTGTTGGTGCACTTAGACGATCCTGATGAGAAAATACAGGAGGCTATCTTAGGTAAAATTTGAATTAAAAAAACTATAAATCTTATCTTTTGCTAAAGTTTCTATATAAGTTATGATTAGTTAAAAAAAATGGCAATGCTCTTTGGGTCATATTGCTCTCATTTAGGATATATTTTCACATATATCCCGTCAGCAACTTGAAAAACTAATGGATTTAATTAACTTTAGTATTGAGCAGTACCTCTACATTTACAGGTGTCCTAAAGAACACAGGAGGTTAAATATTTCAAAATGGTCATGCAACAAATCTACATATTTTGCAGGTGTTCTAGGAAGTAGGAAGTTAGATATGTCAATATAGAATCGCCATTTAATATTTTCTATGTATGTATGTATTTATCCAGGTGTTCTAAAGAAAGCAGGAGGTTTACTGCCTGGCATGCTCATACAAGAAGTTGAGACAACAAAACATAAACATAGGTCGAAAAAATATTGTGAGGAACTAGTGGGCTATTTACAGAAGTTGTCAACTCAATCGTCATAGCATATGATGAGTCATGGTTCAATATACTATCATCACACAAGATCTGTCCATTTCATTTCAATGATTTATGTATATGTGTAGTGTTTATGTAGAAGTGAATGAAGTGTGCTTGTGTATTATTGTATTAAAGATCTATTTATTACAAAAATTGATGCAGTAAATTTGTTTTAAAATTTCAAAGAGTGTAAAGATACGAGTGACGAAATATGCTGTGTAAATTTCCATTGTTTTTATAACACTATGATAGTTTCTTAAAGAATTTTGACTTAGAGTGTCACTGTTATTTAATGTAACAGATATGACAAGTTAGTAGAGAATAAAATGTTATATTCCTATGATAAGAAATGTTTTGCGATGATTCTGTGCATGGGCTGCTTTTTCAAGGAAATTTACAAACATCATGCTTTCAATTTTGTTACTTTATTTTTGTTCTTGTCAGGATGCAAACAATTATTGTTATGAATACAAAATACCCAATATAATTCTGTTTTGTCATGAATTTTAAAGATACATTGTATATGTATATAAGGTAATTTACACTGCTGGAACCAAAAGTGGTTAGCCTTTGCCACCAGTATAGAGCTAGGCCAGCCTGTACAAACCAGACTCTATAGTGTTGGTAGCTAAAATTTAGTACTTTGTAATCTCTTAAAAATTGAAATGGCCTGTTCCATATCCAGAGCAAAGCAAGCCCTGGACAATTTCCTCGTAAATAGAATAATGAAAATCATTTCCATTTTGACCACGCTATAACCCTCTTATCAAAGGAATTCAAAATATTACAACATGTAAATTTTTATTTTTTGATATAAAAACAGTGCAAGAGATTGTATGAATATTGTAGATGCTTTTCTGTAGAAGGATGTGCTTGTCACTGCCAAATAAGAGTTTGTTATTGAAGAATGTAATATAAAATATTTATGTAAGATTAAATGTGTATGAAAAATCTATATCAAAACATTATGTTTTATTTTTGCATCCAGTCAAATGATAAATATATTCCCTTGTGGCTGAGGGGTTGTCTTAGAGTCACCTTGATGAGTACAACCCACCACACTGTACTCTGTTTACTAAGAGGCGACTAAATGGGTTCATAATTACTGGAGTCATCTCTTAGCTTCAGCAGGTGAGGTGGTTTTGACCCCTGGTGTTGCTTTTAGTCTGAAACACCCATGTGACCTAAATTGTGTTAGGCAATATGGTAGGAACATATTCAGCACAGTATGACTAGTCAGGCACCTGACATTGCCATGTGTCCCATGTTGAGACTTCAGGTCCACCTTCATCGCTATGTACATAATGTAAACCTTATTGCAATCGAAATGAACCTTAATCATAATCTTCACTGTTCATGCAACAACTATATTAACAATATTTTCTTATATCAAATTTGAGCATAGTATATCTTTAAAGGATAATAAAATTAAGTAAAATGATTATTTTTGCCTTATTGCAGTCTGAAAGATGCAACAGCACAATGAAATCTTTTATTTTTTAGCTTGTCAAGATGATATAAATTCTAGTAAGCAAAAACATTAACCCACTCTGTTTATGGCTATTATAATGAACTCATCAGATTTGAACATCTTTGAAGACAGTGAATCGGAGGTTACAACTATTAGTACTGGACATTTTTGTAGATAAGGAGGGGTCATAATTCTCCACACAGATTAGTTTTTTTATTCTTTAGAAAGTGCAGACGTGAAAGTTTTATATAATGTTTAAATAATGGTTTTAGAACAATTTTGTTACAATTGCTTATCACCTGAAGACAGAAGTACTGAATATGAAATAATTTTCATAAAATTTAGTAACAAATAATGTAAACAAAGTAGTATTTTGGCTTTCATATTACTAAAAACTAAATAAATACAACTACCACTAACTATAAACTAACAGAAGCAAAAGATTATTTAGGTAATTGGTCAATAATTTATTTTTTGAAACCAGAATAGAACACCAAAAATAAAAAGAGATTTTGAGAAATGATAAGGCATAATGGGCCTTTAACTGATCAGGGGAAGTAACCACTGTGAGGAGTTTGATTACCCTAGCTGCTGCTCTTGATGAACTTTATAATGTTGCTTTGTTGGATGAATGGAATAATATTCCAATTATGTGTTCTAAGGAATGAAGACCATGACACCTGACAAAGTCAGGTGGGTGAAGAGGCAGCATGCGAGAGTGGGACATGACACTTAAAACCTCCCAGACATTTCACCACCCATTGGTCACTTCACCCCCAACTTCACCACCTTATCCCCATAACCATTAAAAAATCAGTACGAGTCACTAAATGACATTTTATCCCACATCCCTTATCTTTTCTTTAGTAAATATTATCCAATACCAAATAAACATTTTATTTGATGTTTATGTTCTCTATTTTGAGTAACTATTTGACTCGAAGCAACTTTTAATATATGAGAATCTTCAACATTTAAACATTATACTATGAAAGACAATTTAAAAATCACAGTGATACAAATTATTTAAGAAAACTTTAAGATTATGACTTTATATATTCAGACAAATAAATATGTTTATGACTTTCTGTGCAATTCTGAGAGAGTTCAAGGCAATTTCATTTTGTAAATTGATTAGGGAGGTTCCATCAATTATGAACTACCAAATAATCTTAAGAAAGATTTAGTGTTTACAAATGACAACAGTTCAACTAGATAAATACAATGTACATCTGGATTATGCATAATAATCAATGTTATAATCTGTCTATAATATGTATCTTAAAGCGACTCACCACTGAGGTTTTTAACATGATTTTTAAGAGACAGCAAATGTTTTTTTTTTTTTTTCAAGACAATTTTGTACTAATTCATGCAGGTCTGGACTTAAAACTAATGTGGGCAAAATTTAAGATCATTCCCTAGCTTAATTGCACCATTTTATATAATTATTTTTATTGTGCAAAATGCCCAAAAATGATACTTTTCTGGGTCAAATCTTAAATGCTAAAAATCATCCAAATATACTCACTGATTTTCAATTTAACTCATCAATTCCTTTGCAATTTTCCCATTTTAAGAGCGTCACTTAATCTATGCAAAAAATTCAAATTTTATGTTTTTAGAGCCTTTTTGATTAACACAGCTCACCTTTGCATTAAGTTCCAAAATATATTGTTTTAATTTGAAAAAAAAAGAATACTTATTGATAATTGTATGGAATTATATGAATTGCACTTGCACACCGATTTTATTAAAAGCCTATTTTAGAAAATAGCAGCATTATTTTTTTAAATATTTTGTTCCAGAACATTTCATTCTATGTATTTCTCGGTTCGTAGTCAATATTCATGTTTGTTTGATAACAGAAATATTATTATACATGTTCCAACTATTTTAAGACTATTTCAGCAATATTTTTTACTGTTTATGACTTTTTTTTAGAAATATTTCAAAAGATATTGCTTTATATACGCTTTTAAGTAAATGAGTTGTTTCCCTTTAAGAGACTTCACCATTTGCACCACTTACACGAGGCAGATAAAATGCTACTTTACACATGATATCTATCGTCAGATAAGTGTTAAATTCAACAGTTTGTCGCTTTTTGTCAACGTGTTTTTGGAAGTTATGACTCAAATAGATTAATGTTCTGTGAGATACTGTAGATGTTAATGTGGACAAATTGTTTTGCATGTGTAGATCTAGGTCACGCAGGTTTGTATTTCAAAATACGTTTTTAAACGACAGTTTGTCAGTAATCAGATGAATATTGTTAATAGGTGTAAATAATACAAAGTGTTAAATTGTAAAGTGTCGTAGAAATGGAATTAAGTACATTTAGTAGAAATTATTTTGGAGTTTTTCCTTCCTGCTTCCTTCTTTTTTGATGTCTGCCTTCTCGTCTTTATATAAAAAGAAAATTAAACGTTGCTGTCGCGATTTAAATTAGCATTTTGCTGCAAGGATTAACCAAAAGTTCACATCCTAGTTTTCTAAATGTTTGTTATAGCCAGTTTGTCAACCAAGTATCATTGTATACGTGGGTAGGAATCTTTTCTAGAAAGAGTTCGTCCCCTTTATGAAAATTTCCATTTGTATGGCTATCACACGCGTTGCATTTCATTTTCAAGTAGCCTATGAAGAAGTGAAAATTATACAGACATTTTGACATTTTTATCCGTCCGCTTGTATAAAGTTGATTAACCATTTCAAAGTCAAATTAAAAGATTTGTACTATGTACAGTATATTGTTTACCAAAAAAAAAGCAGTAATATTATGTATAAAATGGTTTCCTTTAATTTGCACTTCAAATTTTTTAAGTAAAAACTGTTTTGAAATAAATTAATATTAATGCTTTACATGCATGTAGATTCTACAATTTTGATTGTTATCCGATTTATTTATCATTATGAGATAGCACAAAATAATTTGTGGTAGCTCTACCACAACATTTATTAGTTACACGAACATATAAATGTTTTTTTAACGTACATGATTATTTACACAAACATCCTACTAGATAGTTTCATGCTTTGAGTGAATAATTGACTATGAGTAATTGTCATTGAGAGGCCTCAGTGGCTGTGTGATTTAGGTTGCTGACTTTGAACGCATGCCCCTTAAGTACCGCTGTGGGTTTAAACCCCACCATGGACTTTTGCTACTTCCGAGTGATGAAGCTATCCAGCTATTAACGTGGTTCTATTCAGCACCCCTAGTAAACACTGGCTCTTTGACAATTTGGTGTTATAATTTTTTTTTAAAGATGAGAGCAATCGACATTAGATCTACCATTGTAGAGCCCTCGACCAAAACAAAAGTGATATTTAAAGTTAAACATAGTTTCTAAAATATCCTATTTAAAAGAATATGCTTGATTTTCCAAAATCGAAGGATACTATGCCATATAGAGCATTTTTCTCAATTTAGAGGAAATATACCAAAATGAGTGCTAGATCCAGGGATATTTTTGGCTTATTTTATAGCCATTATTGGGTCATATTCACAATTGAAAATTCTCTTTTAAATCGGATGTTTTTAAAAACTGTGATTACCTTTTCAGCTTTGTATTGATCAGTCGAGGACTCTACAACGGAAGTGCCTTTGGCTTTAATTTTAACAGATCACCAAAATGTGAAAGCAGCGTTTAGTAGGGGTGATTCGCGGGCCTGCTTGTTTAAAAGGACACCTTAGGTCTTCCTCCACAAGGAAACATCACTTAAAACGCAACCAAAAATGAAATAAAATTTAAGCATGTGAGTACATGAAAAAATTGAAATATGTTTAAATTATTTAATTTTGTAGTTCAACAATGATTTGCCACTAAGCAGTCGAAACATTCAACAGAAATGCGATATAAAGGAATAACAACAATGACCTGCAGCTAAGCATATTCAACTGTGTACGCCATGTATGTCATATTTTTATGAAGGAAATCCATTATGGTCAGTGATATAGAAAAATACAGCTTTCTTTTTTTCTCAGTTGTTTTGCTTTTTAGACATATACCACAGCCTTTCTATCTTTCATATATCAATAGTTTCATTATTTATTATAATGATAATGTTTCTGACAAGATATTTTATAGAGATAGTAATTAAGTTGTTAGAAATTTTTATATCTTTTTGTCAATTCCAGACATAGATAAATGTCAAAGTCTGCATTTTCTTCTGTCGTATTCTATAGTATATACTGATATTCATGATAATAATGTCATGGTACATTACCACTAAGTTTTACTATCATTTTTCATATCTTATTTTGCCATTTTAAGAGTTTCGATTGGACTTGATGATACCATATTTAATATGTAAAGATAGTTTTCATAAATTATAGTTACTGTTTTTTACATTTATATAATATTAGTCATATAGGTTGAGGACCATGCAAACCCCTTAGATTTTATGACCAATATACATGTACATTGCAATTGTATATATATGTATATATTTTTGAATTTTCAGGTCAACGATGAATTGCAGGTCATGGGCCCGAGGCATTCGCCAAAAAAAGAAAGACAATTTTGATGTTAATTGCTTGGGAATTAAATGATAATCAGAGAACTGCTCAAAATGGTGGCTTGAATATATTACGTTGAAAAATTTGAATTCCACTTGATTGTTCAGAACTAAGCTTTAGGAAAATTATGTTGTTACTTGTAACTTAACTTCGTAAGCCAGTAAAATATTGTGCCGTAACCATGATACTGCTTTGAAAAACATTTCAGTAAAAAAATGAAGGTTGAATGAACATGGTAATCGTTCTTATTATATTTTTCCATAAATAGTTGGCTTTAAAGGAAACACAATTTCTGCTTGAACTGTTTTGGAAATAACATTGGTGGAAATGGAGCAGGGAAAAGAAGTAATGACTTTAATTTGTGGTTCAGAGGAGATAGTCATTGAAACAAATGACTTGTATTCAGAAGACAATGAAATGACGGATACCAGTTCGTGTTCGTCTGACTCGGAATATGAAGAAATAGAGGTTGAACCACCATTTCATGATGAAAAACAATACCAAAAAATTGAGATAGAACCAACTTTTGATATTGAAAAACAAAGTGAAGCAATCTATCTTCCAAACCCTTATGTTAAATTAGTTAGATGTGACCATCTTGTTAAAAGTGTGTTTCCTGAAAACAGAATTGAACACAGAAATTCAAGATCTTCAGCAAGAATGAGACGTCCGAACAGCACCTATCTGACAGACGAGTTTCTCGTAGGAAAGTATGCACAAAAAGCCCCTGACAAACAATTATCATTTGTAAAGGTGAAAAAGAAAAAGAAACTTAAAAATATAAACAAAAATATTTTTGAAAAGGTGAAAAAGAAAAAGAAACTTAAAAATATCTACAAAAATGATATTCACAATCCTGGTCGCAGTATGATTCAAGTGGGCATTACAAATTTTGGAGCCGATTTAGCTGAAAATATCAAACAGGAATATCCGAGTGGTTGCCAAGTTTATGCGTATGATGTATCAGATATGGATAAAATGAACCCATGTTATAGATTTTTTTCAAGTGATATAGTGACTGAACCTTTAGTATCTACTATTAAGGAAGAACCTCCTGACGATTATTTTGATGGTATGATAGGTAACAGTTTTAATTGCACTTCTGACTGTGAAACAGTTAAACCAGTAAAACTATCTAAAATAAATTTTGATTCAATCGTTAAAAAGGAAACAGATGAAACAGATTACGGTAGCATGTCTTCTGAATATAGCCATTTAAATGACACTAAAAGTATAAATTACAACTCGGTTTTCAATGGGGAATTAAATGAGACGGATACAAAAATAATAAAAGTAGAAAAAACTGAAGAATCAAGCGACAGTGAAGTTGATATTGAAAGAGATTGGGATGGGCCAGTGTTTATTGTTGATCCAGAGACTGTTGCCTTTGATCATCCATACTCGTCACGGCCGGAGAATACTGATGCGCCACCAGTAATAGTTATTTACCCACATAACTCCAAGAAAACAGATACTAATCCTTCTCAGTCTCAAATAGGGAAACAGAAACAACCGCTAAAGAATTTGAAGGAAAGAAAAAATATTAAAGATCTTTCAATTAAGAGTTTGAAGAAAAGCGAAAAAGAGCTGTCAATTTTTAAAGAGACTGCGGCAGGAAGAAACATGGAAACTGTAAGTTTTAGTTTGTTCTACCCTGCTCTACATCTCTGTTTTAATTGTTCTCAATACTTTTTTTAGTCTTGAAGATTTTATATACCGCTTTTAAAGATTCGAAATATTGGAAGAGCATAAGATTAGTACTCCAAGGGTTGATGTTTGATCCTCCGATGAGGGGTAATTTCTCTGTAACTTATTACATACATTAATTTCACTTTTTATACCCCCATGCACTTAGGGTGGAGCATATCGATTTGAGAACTTTATGCTTTGTTTGTAGATGCACCTTATGATTTCAGGTCAAATGGTCAGCATCCAAGAATTGTAATGACAAAACAAAACAAAAGTGTGTCTATTTAATCAAAGTTCATTGTGCTTCTATGTGCAGAACACATACAGTTCTCTTTCCCAAAGGCCAAGGTCTCGTAGTTCAAATGATACCTTGTTTACATTTGGTCTCTGTATCTGATATTTGACTATTTGGAATATTGTAAATTTACATGGCACAAATGATTAACAAGACGTCCCGATGGCAAAATCCAGGTTGCTACCCTACAATCATGGGTCAAATGTAGAGGTCAGTTGCTCGACTTTGAAATAGTTTGAATGAATTTGGAAATAATAATTTACATCGTGACTCATTGGTTATAATGTGTATAGTGCAAAAGCCAGGGTTTACCCCATAGGTCAAGGGCGATCAAAGGTTAAAAGAAATCCACATTTTTATCTACTGAATACCTTGCTTATTGAAAAACACATTAAAGTCAAAAACGACATACCTAACGTGACTTAATTACTTATTTTTGCATTGAAAACATAACCTTTCAGATCATTGTACTTTGTGTGAGTGTTACAGTGCAATCATGTTTTGTTTACAGTTTTTGTTAATTGTCATTAGCTTTAAATATTACGTTGAAACTTGATAAGTCGAGTAATGTGTGTCCTACCCATTTTTTGGGAGTCAAAATAACGAAGATCTACTAGGTCATTGTGGCCTTTAATTCTAATTGTCTCTACTTCTTTTTAAAGCATTGCATTCGTGAGCGGCAATCCCGGGCTTTGTTGAAGGATGATTTCAGAAGACTGAGAGACATGATTCCACAATTAAATGGAAATGAAAGGACACCCAAAGTCTCGATTTTGACATCGGCATATCTGTATATAAAATCATTGGAAATTTCGGAGAAAACGCTTCAAAAATCTATCGAAAATTTAAAGGAGAAACAAAACAATCTGAAAAAAATATTGAAATTATTGACAAGTCCTGGGAAAATGAAAAGAGAACCTGAGTGAGGAAGCGAGGAATCTGTCATTTACTTATTAATGGTGACATTTTACAATTAATACATGAATGCATTCTTTTCTTTATTGATAAATTATTTTATTAATGGCAAATAGAAATAAAAATATAAAAAAACTAGTGATGTATATAAATATGAATATTGTAATATGTCAGAAGGCTATATGATCAGATTTTAATAAAGTACATGTACTTAAAGCTGATACGTTATTGTTAAATAGTAAATCCAACCTTTATTATCTTTTTTGTAAAGTCCCCTCCCCGACAGACACACAAAATTCCGTGTGTAATATCCACATGGCAGTCCGTCCGTCTGTTAGCAGCTGGTTGGTGTCCATTTCGTATCTTTTAAACCAATTGAAGGACATAAGCAGAAATATTAACCCTAATGATATGATGTACAGAGTGCAGGTTTAGGCTTTCTCGGGTCAAGGTCACGCTGAGAAATTATGTATGCCAGCTCTGTATCATCTTAACCAATGGGAGAAATTAAAACTATTTGGCAGAAATATAGGATGATGTGCAGAATTCAGGGGTGGACACTCATTTATAGTCCTCTGTCAATTGTGATAGCTGTGGCAACTGGTTCCATATAGTATCAAGATATAGATAACACCTAGTATTAACAAATGACAGAAACTGAAGTATCCTTTGCATGGTTATTCACTTTGTGTTATAACTTAAACCATTCCAACACCAGTTCAAGTATACTATCCATTACCTCTCAAAATAGTTTTTCAAGCTTTTCTGATACAAATGTTACATTGTATCCCAACACTAGTACATCCAAACCACAATCAATTATGTTTCGAAAATTAAAATTATCTGTGTAAATTGCCAATCCATTGTGAAAAAAAGCATGAATTCTTTCTCAAAACCCTGATGTTGTCACAACATAACAGAGTCTTGGCTGAAAAAGAAGCATTTTACAAGTGAAAATCTTTCCAACATCCCTAGGGCACACAGTCTACCTAAAAGATAGACAAACCGGAAAAGGAGGTGTACTTAAATGTATACTTGTGAAAAATAACTTTATCTCATGTGAACAACCAAAACTAAGCACTGACAGTGAAATTTTAGTGTTAGAGTAGAAATTAAAGATAACAAACCATTCTACATAAACCACATAAAAACGACACAAAAAGTACACTTGAATTTGAAAAATCACTAGACTTAACAAGAAATCTTAACGGCACAAAAATAATCCTAGGAGATTTTAACTTTCCAAAACTTACAGGGGATTCAGAACATAATTATTCTTACAAATCTGGCTTTAATTCAAACTCCATATATGATAAATTCCTTGAAGTCATCGAAAATCATATATATAGCCTTTAAATGATAAATGAAAACAACACACAACAATATTTTGGATCTCTTTTTAATTTCAAACTACACACTTGTCAACAAAACAGAAATAATCCCTGGAATATCAGATCATGACATCATCACAACTGTACACGCAAGACCAATTATACTCAAACAAAAACCAAGAAACTGCCCAATCTACATAAAAGCTAACTGGCCTGAATGCAGATATTTAGCCAAGAAATCATAAATAAGGTTGATACACTCTCAGTTGAAGAACTATGGACTCGATTTAAATCTGCAATTAAAACTGGAATCGCTAAATTTGTTCCAATAAAAAGAATAGGATAAAAAAAAATCCCTACCCTTCTTAAAAAAACTATACTCTCACCTAAAACATTCCAAACAAGATTTCCAAAATGTAACAACTGTTGTTTTTTCAAGACAGTTTTGTACTATTTCATGCAGGTCTGGACTTCTAATTTGTGTGCAAAAATTTATATCATTCCCTTACACCATTTTTCCCAGAATGATTATTTTTATTGTGCAAAATGGCCAAAAATTGAATGCTAGAATCATGCAAAAATATAGATTTTCAATTTAACTCTATTATATTTCATTATTAATTCCTTTGCAATTTTCTCATTAATTAAGTGCATTTCTTAATCTATGCAAGAATTTCAAATTTTATGTTTTTAGAGCCTTTTTGAACACAGCTCACCTTTGTATAAAGTTCCAAAATATATTGTTTTAATTTTAAAAAAGAATACTTCTTGATAATTGTATGGAAGTATATGAATTGCACTTGCACAATGATTTTATAAAAAGCCTATTTTAGCAGCATTATTTTTTAAATATTTTGTTCCAGAACATTTCATTCTGTGTATTTCTCGGTTCGAAGTCAAAATTCATGTTTGTTTGATAACAGAAGTATTATTATATATGTTCCAACTATTTAAAGACTATTTCAGCAATATTTTTTACTGTTGATGACGTTTTTTTTTTAGAAAATTTCAAAAGATTTTGCTTTATATACGCTTTGAAGTAAATGAGTTGTTTCCCTTTAAGAGACTTCACCATTTGCACCAGTTACACGAGGCAGATAAAATGTTACTTTGCACATGATATTTATCGTTAGATAAGTGTTAAATTATACAGTTTGTCGCTTTTTTGTCAGCATGTTTTTGGAAGTTATGACTCAAATAGATTTATGTTCTGTGAAATACTGTAGATGTTAATGTGGACAAATTGTTTTGCATGTATAGATCTAGGTCACGCAGGTTTGTTTTTCAAAATATGTTTTTAAAGGACAGTTTGTCAGTGATTAGACGAATATTGTTAATAGGTGTAAATCATACAAAGTGTTAAATTGTAAACTGTTGTAGAAATGGAATTTAGTACATTTAGTAGAAATTATTTTGGAGTTCTTCCTTCCTGCTTCCTTCTTTTTTGATGTCTGCCTTGTCTTTATATAAAAAGAATATTAAACGTTGCTGTTGTGATTTAAATTAATATTTTCTGCAAGGATTAACCTAAAGTTCACATCCTAATTAATTTTCTTAATGATTGTTTCATTAAAGTTTATTATCAAGTATCATTGTATACGTGGATAGGAATCTTTTCCGGAAAGAGTTCGTTCCCTTTATGAAAAATTCCATTTGTAGGACGATATATAACACGCGTTGCATTTCATTTTGAAGTATGAAGATCTGAAAATTATTGACATTTTTATCCGTCCGCTTGTATTAATTTGATTAACTATTTCAAAGTCAATTTCAAATTAAAAGATGTGTACTATGTACATTATATTGTTTACCAAAACAATAAGCAGTATTTATTATTCATAAAATGGTTTCCTTTAACTTGCACTTCAAATTTTTAAGGTGATTCCGCTTTGTCAGCCATGTTTGTTTCCACTAAAGTCTGTCCAAAGTGAAAGTGAAAGCTTTACATGCATGTAGATTCTTCAATGTATTATTGTTATCAGATTTATTTATCAATATCAGATGGCACAAAATAATTTCTGGTAGCTCTACCACCATATTCATTAGTTTCTTATTTTGCCATTTTAAGAGTTTCGATTGGACTTGATGATACCATATATAATATACAAAGATAGTTTTCAAAATTGCAGTTACTGTTTTACATTTATATAATATCAGTAATGTGGATGGGGACTAAACCCCTTAGGTTTTATGATTCATATAGACATATACATGTAAAAATATTTCAGGTCAAAGATGGATTGCAGATCATGTGCCAGAGGCATTCACCTAAAGAAAGAAAAGTTGATGCCATGCTTGTGAATTAAATGATAATCAGAGAACTGCTCAAAATGGTGGCTTGAAAGATGAATATATTAAGTTGAAACATTTGAATTTCATTTGATTGTTCAGAACTAAGCATTAGGAAAGTTATGTTGTTTTTTGTAACTTTATTTCGTAAGCCAGTAAAATATTCTACCAGTAACCATGACACTGTTTTGAAAAACATTTCAGTAAAAAAAAATGAAGGTTGAATGAACATGGTAACCGTTCTTATTATATTTATCACAAATAGATAGCTTTAAAGGAAACACAATTTCTGCATTTGTGGAAATGGAGCAGAGAAAAGAAGTAATGACTTTAACTTGTGGTTCAGAGGAGATAGTCATTGAAACAAATGACTCGTATTCTGAAGACAATGAAATGACGGATACCAGTTCGTGTTCGTCTGACTCGGAATATGAAGAAATAGAAGTTGGACCACCATTTCACGATGAAAAACAAGACCAAAAAATAGAGATAGGACCAACTTTTGATATTGAAAAACAAAGAAAAGCCATCTTTCTTCCAAATCCTTATGTTAAATTAGTTAGATGTGACCATCTTGTTCAAAGTGCGTTTCCTGAAAACAGAATTGAACACAGAAAATCGAGATCTTCAGCAAGAATGAGACGTCCTAACAGCACCTATCTGTCAGACGAGTTTCTCGTAGGAAAGTATGCACAAAAAGCCCCTGACAAACAATTATCATTTGTAAAGGTGAAAAAGAAAAAGAAACTTATAAATGTCCACAATAATATTTTTGTAAAGGTTAAAAAGAAAAAGAAACTTATAAATATCTACAAAAATAATATTCACAAACCTGGTCGCAGTATGATTAAAGTGGGCATTACAAACTTTGGAGCCGATTTAGCTGAAAATATCAAGCAGGAATATCCGAGTGGTTACCAAGTTAATGCGTATGATGTATCAGATATGGATAAAATGAACCCATGTTATAGATTTTTTTTCGAGTAATATAGTGACTGAACCTTTAGTTTCTACTATTAAGGAAGAACCTCCTGATAATTATTTTGATGGTATGATAGTCAACAGTTTTCATTGCACTTCTGACTGTGAAACAGTTAAACCAGTAAAACTATCTAAAATAAACTTTGATCCAATCGTTAAAAAGGAAACAGATGAAACGGATTATGGTAGCATGTCTTCTGAAGATAGCCATTTAAATGACACTGCCAGTATAAATTACAACTCGGTTTTCAATGGAGAATTAAATGAGACGGATACAAAAATAATAAAAGTAGAAAAAACTGAAGAATCAAGCGACAGTGAAGTTGATATTGAAAGAGATTGGGATGGGCCAGTGTTTATTGTTGATCCAGAGATTGTTGCCTTTGATCATCCATACTCGTCACGGCCGGAAACTACTGATGGGGCACCAGTTATAATAATTTATAACTCCAAGGAAACGGATACTAATTCTTCTCAGTCTTCAACAGGGAAACAGAAGCAACCGCTAAAGAATTTGAAGAAAAGAAAAAATATTAAAAATCTTTCAATTAAGAGTTTGAAGAAAAGCGAAAAAGAGCTTTTAGTAAAAGTGACTGAGGACAATGTGTATGTTAGGGAGACTTCGACAGGAAGAAACATGGAAACTGTAAGTTTTAGTTTATTCTACCCTGCTCTACATCTCTGTGTTGAAATTGTGCTCAATACTATTTTAGTCTTGAAGATTTTATTATTCGAAATGATGGACGAGCATTAGATTAATTAGTACTCCAGGAGTAAATGTTTGATCCTCCGATGAGGTAACGATTGATATGGATTTGAGTCTAATGAGCATTTGTCTCGCACTACTGATTCAGAAATCATGTCATGATGTGGAACAAGTAGTCAGTCACCTACGGAGAAATTGGTTATTACTGGTTAGTTATCCAGGAAATCTAGTTAGGTGAATTGACCGCCGACATGTATACAAAACCGTATGTTAAAATCGGCGTTAAATCTAGAAAAGAAAACAAACAAGATTCTTAATAGAGTGAGATATATTTCATTTTCATGACCTCTCATAAACAGACTCGAACCTGGGCGATTTTCATTTATTTTTTCCTTTTATTTCTTTTCAAGAATACTTAGTACATACATTGATTTCACTTTTTATGCCCTTACGTAGGGTGGAGCATATCGATTTGAGGACTTAAAGCTTTGTTTGTAAATTCGCCTTGATGATTTCAGGTCAAAGGATGTAAGGACAAAATAAAAGTGGGCCATTAATCAAAGTTCATTGTGCTTCTATGTGCAGAAAACATACAGTTCTCTTTCCCAAAGGTCAAGTTCTCATAGTCCAAATGATACCTTGTTTACATTTGGTCTCTGTATCATTGACAATTTGGAAGGTTGTAAATTTACATGGCAAAAATGATTAACAAGACGTTCCGAGAGCAATATCCAGGTTGATACCCTACAACCATGGGCCACATGTAGAGGTCGATTGCTCGACTGAATGAATTTGGAAATAATAATTTACATCATGACACACTGGTTATAATGACTTTACAATAGACTTTACCCCTTAAGTCAAGGGCGGTCAAAGGTTTAAAAAAATCCACATTTTTATCTGCTGAATACCTTGCTTATTGAAAAACACATTAAAGTCAAAAATGCCATACCCAAGGTCACTTACCGGGTAATTACTTAATTTTGAATTAAAAACATAACCTTTTCGATCATTGTACTTTATGCGAATGTTACAGTGCCATCATGTTTTGTTTGAAGTTTTTGTATATGGTGCAGTAGCTTCAAATATTACGTTGAAACTTGTTAATTCGATTTTTCTTACAAAGGAGTAATGTGTCCTACCCACTTTTTGGGGGTAAAAAAGAACGAAGATCAAGGTCATTGTGGCCTTTAATTCTAATTATCTCTAATTCTTTTATAAGCATTGCATTCGTGAGCGGCAATACAGGGCGACGTTGAAGGATGATTTCATAAGACTGAGAGACATGATTCCACAATTAAATGGAAATGAAAAGACACCCAAAATCACGATTTTGTCATCGGCATTTCTGTACATACAATCAATGGAAATTTCGGAGAAAATGCTTCAAAAATCTATCGAAAATTTAAAGGAGAAACAAAACAATCTGAAAAAAATATTAAAATTATTGACAAGTTCCGGGAAAATGAAAAGAGTACCTGAGTGAGGAAGCGAGGAATTTGTTATTTACTCATTAATGGTGAAATTTTACTATTAATACATGAATGCATTGTTTTCTTTATTGATAAATTATTTTATTAATGGCAAATAGAAATTAAAATTAAAAACAAAACAAAAAACAAGTGATTTGTATGAATATGAATAATGAATATTGTAATATGACAGAGTGCTATATGATCAGATTTTTAATAAAGTACATGTACTTAAAGCTGATACAACGTTATTGTTAAATCATAAATCCAACCTTTATTATCTTTTTTGTAAAGCCCCTCCCCGACACACACACACACACACACACACACAAAATTTCGTGTGTAGTATCCACATGGCAGTCCGTCCGTCTGTTAGCAACCGGTTGATGCCCATTTCGTATCTTTTAAATCAATTGAAGGACATAAGCAGAAATATTAACCCTAATGATATGAGTGCAGGTTTAGGCTTCCTCGGGTCAAGATCTTGCTTAGAAATTACGTATGCCTGCTCTGTATCATTTTAACCAATGGGAATAATTAAAACTATTTGGCAGAAATATAGGATGGTGTGCAAAATTCACGTGTGGACACTCTTTTTAAAGTGCAAGAGCTTCTATAGATGTAAGTACACTAATAGGGGCGAATTAGCGCATTTCTTGCAAAACAGTATCCCTGCACAGATGGCCAATTAAGTGCCGTATAATGATAATTAGATATTAATAAGAATAAAGCATTTGAACACGAATATTTAATTAGACGCTTCTCTAAAGATTATTTTTGAAGGATGTAATAGAGAATCACACGTTTCATATATGGCACTCAGTTTATTGACTTACAAATTGTTAATAAATTGTAAATAAAAATCTTGGAATGCCCTCTACAGTATATAAAATACATCAGTTTCTGAGTTATTTTGATTTCTCTCTTTGTTGTTGTTCGTTTTTGTTGTTTTCTTTTTTTTGTAGTTGTTGTAATTTGCTGCTGCTTTTTTTTTGGGGGGGGGGGGGTGTGGTTGTTCAATAAGTACAACTGTGCTCCTCATAGTTCCAAAACCAATTAAAACAAAGCAGATACAGGTTAACACATTTTCTAAAAACAAAGACATAAGCTATGCCACGTAGAACATTTTCATTTAATTTCGATACGAAATACCCCAAAATGACGTTGCTATAACTTTTACCAAACATTAAAAAGTTTGTGTGTTTTCTGTTACGTTGAGACACATTTTTAGTGATGTCTTTACCGTAAAGTAAATGTCTGCCCTATTTATCGTGCATGAAACATGATCCCACTCATCACTAAACTATTTCAAAGAGCTTGGTTAAAAATAAAATATTTACATTTTTTCAAATGTGATCGTGTAATCGACACGGTGCTGCATCGGCAATCTGAAAGAGCTCTAGCAAATGTGACGGAGCCAATACAAGCATATAATCAGTTTCGATATTGTGGAATTGTTCCGATTCATATCCATGGACTAACTAAAGAATCGCAAAATTGAATGATATATGTTTTTTTTATGTTCGTATGTATTCTAGGCTTAATGAGGGTCCATCCACTGACCCCGGACATGTCACCATTCATGCCATTAAATGTTATTATCAACCAAAAGGTGACTTATAAATTTTGAATTCAGTTATGGATGATACTAAATATGTATTTAAGGTATTAGCACCCTTATGCATTACCTCCGCGTTGAAGAGTATTCAAATAGGCTAGAACTACTGTTAACTAAATTGAAAATGAGGGCCATGGGTTCAATCCCCAGAAGGGTCAACTTTTTTTTTCTTTCTTTTTTTCTTTTAACATTATTTATGTATCTCTGATGTCCCATTTGGAAAGAAAAAAGTGTTTAATTTTGATTTTTTAATTTATATAGGTATTTATTGGCTATATTATGCTAAATCTAGTAATAAATATGATACCTGATATTTTCAAAGTGTAATATAATCAAACCTAGACGGTAAAAGTATTTCATATTTTACAAGATCAACCAATATACTTTTTTAAAAATTTAGGGAAACTTTGAAAACAGGCACTCATTTGGGTAAATTTTTAGAATTTTTTAAATTAGGCTTCCTAAGTAGAAAAATGGTCAGACACGTGGTAAAAATGGGTGGGGTAGGGTAACATTTTTATACAGATTTCATAAATTTTATGTAGAAACTATAATTTTGCTTATGTGGATTGTTAGCTGAATGGTGCTATTTGTTTCTTACCAAAAATTAATGGGGAAACATTTTTCATTAGAAAGTTATTGCAGATTATTTAAAGGTTCCTCATTTCTAAAAGAGGGCCCTGATAACATCCTAGCTTGAGTTCACAAAAGTGGCCATAACTTGATTTCCGTACGGTAAACTTTGTTTAAATTTTGCATACAGGTGTACTTTAAGGTATACATCTGACCTATGATGTCAATTTTTCAGTTCCTTATAGTGCCCATTAGGGTCCTAATACCTTAAGTCGTTTTTGTGATGAAACTATTTTGATGCACAGATGCCAATAAAACCATATATGAATCATAAAGAAAATGTTTTTCTGCCAACATAAATGATCATATCTTTCGGGCGAGCTTCACTGACTGATAGGTTATGCACCTGACGCATGTTTTCCGTATGCATGACCAATCATTCTATCCAGTTTTTTTCACAGTCGAATAGGGATGAAATTTTAGCCAAAAAAGAGGATCCTTTTTTTTAATTTTGTATAATACTAATAATGAGAATACCCAAAACCGATGAAATATAATACATTGTTTACATTTTAGCACATAGTAACTTAGATTCAGCAAATATTATAAAAAAGAAAAATATCCCTTCCTTTTGAATGTTTTCTTAAGTGTAGAATGTTAAATTTGCAAACAATGGTGTCTTTGATCAAGATTATTTGATTTGCTGTTTGAAACTTGGTCCTTAATTGTGTGTACATTCTTTTATTGGTTTTCGCAGGTGTCGTGTGCCGAAGATTCTTTTTTTATTTAATGTTTGTTTTTTTTTGCAGTAATATCAGCTGATAAGCTAGTTTATAATATATGCACATTGCGCATGTTCAATAACATGTCTATGCCAGTACCTCTATGTTCTAGCTTGTAGAGTATACTCATGTTTGTGTTTTTTTCACAATTTTATGAAGTCTACATGATTAATATAACTCTCAACAACAAAACAGTTTGACACTAAATTTTAAATAGTGAAAAGACATTGCATTGCTTTGGGGAAATGTACTTCGTGCTAAACGCCACATTTTAACATTTCATGAACATAAGTCTTTATCAACTTATGCAATTTTGTATATTTATGAATATTAATCGCCATATTCCACAATATCGACATATATATATCTGTGGTTACATCCAATATTATGTGGGTCAACATATTAACTTTATAGTAGAGAAATCACTCAAGATGCGTCTCCTCGCGAAAGGAAAAACTTGGTTGATAATCTGTAAAAGTTTTAGCAACGTCATTTTGGGATATTTCCTACCGAAATCGCATCCAAAATGATGAGAAAAATATTGTTCGTGGCATAGCATTAATTATTCGATTTTTGAAAAACAATCATGTTCTTAATTTTAAATAGGATATTTTTAGAAACTGCGTTTACCTTTTTCAGCTTTTTTTTTCGATATCTCTAAAACGGAAGTGTCGATGACTTTATTTAAACAAATCACCAAAATGTGAAAGAGCCACTGTCTGCGTGAGTTCGCCGTACAGTTTGTCTTCCCATGTGGTAGGCCCATGCTTAAAAGGCTTTGACTAAGACATTGTGTTCATGACAACAGTGCTTTACTCTTTTTTTTTTTTTTTTTTTTTTGTTTTGTTTTTATGTGCGTGCGTGTGTTTTTTCTTCCTTTTTATCTATTTTCCTTTTTTTTTCTTTTCTTTTTTATAAAAAGTTTCAACCGAGTTTAAACTTTTCCGCGTTAAAAAGACCAGAATCATTCCGGTGTCTTTACTTTTCGCATTTTAAATCCAACACACAATCCAATATGGCGGGACGAATTGGACTTGCGACCAAAAACTTTAGTGGACGGTACTTTATTCATAATAGTAAATGGTAATTTAACATTCTATTTATAAGAAAGCTTTTTGTTTTTACTGCGTTTCCATGAGCAAACTTTACATTTACTGTCCTTTTCTTAATGACATCCAGCTTAATTTAAAAACGTTCCGGACCATGGATATTTCGAACCAGATGGAACGAGATAATACAGATAATTTAGCCACACGCAGGGCCATTTCTAGCTGTTAAAAAATGAAATAAAACTTCATGAAATTATTGCCTGCACGTATTCAAATATTTATGATATGTATGACATATAATTTAAAATTGCAGGTTTGATTCCCTAGTTCAGCAGCCAACTGTACGGACAACAAGGTATCGTTTTAGCTTTTCTTTTTTTCGGGGGAGGATTGGGATCATGTGGTGTAGGCCTGTCCACAAAAAATATTGTGAAATGTACAAATGAGATAATTACATGGCAATTATGCAAATAACTCACTCAAGAAGTGCCAAAATATGTAAAAATAGTTATCTCTGGTAACAAAATAAAGTCTTTCTCCTTACAAAATAAATTCATGAGGTAGAAATGTATAAATAAGAAGAGTAAATAACAAACCATAATATTATTTTTCTTAAATTAAAAAAAAACAACTAAATGTTTTCGTTATTTAGCATATTACACTTCCTAAACTTTTGTCAGGTATATTTTACTGAAGTATTATCATTTTCCAACAAATATGGAGGCAATCGGCTTTTAATGCAATGAAAAGATAAATTAATGAATCATTTCAGTTTGAACTATTGCTTACCAAGATATTTGTCAGTGTCCAGGCAAGATGGAAGGCCAAAGAAGCCGGCTACCCACTTTTTATTATACTACAAAAGTGTACAGGATGTTTTGGATAAGAAAATTCCAGGTATAATCGTTTTTATGCCCCCACTCTAGGGGGGTGAGGGGTCATTTAGATTTGCCATTGTCCATCTGTCATCGTGTTCTTTTGTGTGTTCTCATGTTGTGTTACACATGGCTCTAAAAGTGCTTGAGCTAGGGTAAAAAAATTGTACAGGATTGTTGATTTGCTTGTAAAGTTGTGCACCTTGGGTTTCGCTTGTGGATTTGTTCAGTTTAGTGAGAGTTATTGCCCTTGACTTAGTAAAAATTGACAATTTTTAATTTGTGTCATGTGTACCTCGAAAAGTATTTGACCTAGAATGTTGGATAGTTTAACCCTTTAATATCATGTTGGGGTCCTCAAGTCAGAAAATTTTACCTGCTTATACCCATGGCCAGTAGATGACAGACCACCACTGAAGTTAAAGACATAGGTCATAGTGACATTTGACATTGAATACAAATCAATATAACTATGTAGCTTACTAGATTTACATGTAAAAAAAATTGTAATACACATTTATGATTAATTATTTATGTAACTCTTGACCTATTTGTTGTTGGACACATTTTTAGTTTCAGTTTATAATGTTGATTGTATTTTTTAGATAGAAAAATGATTACTGATAAAGTGAAGATTGCTAGTCAAATGTACAAAGAGTTATCTCCAGAAGAAAAAGAGGTAAGATGTGTGAAAGCAAGACCTGGGAAGTGTATAAATATTTTAAGTTTTTCAAAATATTTTAGTGGAGCAGAATGTTATCAATTTACTTTTGCTATTTATCCTTCTGACAGTCCTGTCTTTGACACATATTTGGGTGCCTTATTTGAGCAAGCCCCTATTGATATGGATGCAGGTCAGATAGGTGAAGGTCACCAGAGCCAAAAATAAATTTTCCTACTTTTCCTTGGCCTAGGCTACTGAAGCCTTATTTATGTCCCCACTTACCCACTTAAACATACTATGATGGGATAGATATGTGGTTCCTTGTTGATCACTATTGATTTTGAAGGCCAAGGTCACCATGCTTTGACCACTAAAAGCTTGTCCAACCAATAGCTAAGAACTTCTTGACCTACAGTTCTGAGATTTTGTCAGTTGATCATAAATAGATGATCAAAATGTTATACAACAAGCTGATTATCTATTCTATGAACTTGCTTGTTGAACTCTGTTTCATGAGAAAATGGTATGTAAGGCCATCCATAAAAAATTGTTTGTTTGTAGTGCTCCGACCGACCCATGAAAATGGCCCCGACTCTAAAAAATTTTTACACCTTCGAGGATTTTTTTTTTTTTTTTTTAGATCATTATGTACCCATTCTGTTAAAAAGAACTTTCTCCAATAACTTTTCAGACAAATTTTGAACTGAGAAGTAGAAGAGTAAAAGAATTTTATTCCAAAACCAAAATAAATGCACGCTTTTCATCGATATTTTGCCAAACTTCGTCCCCGAACATCGGCGATTTCACATTCGCCAGAAACCATAAAATTTCGCAAAAGGCGTAAAAATTTTCAGTTTCCAAGCCAAACATGTGAATGAATTGCTCTTTTGTTAATTATTTAACATTAAATCTTATAAAAGTTGATCCACTTTTGAAGATATTTGCTAAAATAATTGCCGATCGGATGAATCTCTTACACACTGTGTGAAGCTGTACTCGATTTTCCTATTCATTCCACTAAATGCTGCCTAAAAATACGTATGTAGTATATGGAAATGATGCCCTTTACAAATCTTTAGACTTTTGAGTGGACATATTAAACCAGAATAAAATTCGATTTATTTTTGGTATAAAGGTGAAAAAACGATTGCAACTTTGTTATGTGAAAATAGACAGGAAAAAATTGATTTATTTTTGGTATAAAAGTGAAAAAAAAAGATAGCAACCTTGCTACATACATCAATGAATGTTAAAATGGACTATCCCCCCGTAACCATAGACCACCACTGTATACATATACTTTTACACAAAATAATACTAGAAGAACTTTATTGTTGACATAAATTAATTTAAATCATTTTGCCATTCATGATTGTCAAAAAATGAGATTACACTAAACTTGTTGAAAAAACAAGTTAATTGAGAAAATCGCTGGAAATTAATGGGTCTTTTTCCGATACTTTTAAATAAGTTATACCTGTGTTTTCTTCATATTTCTTCATAAGAATGATCATTATTCATAAATTTTACCTTTTCCTAAATTGTAATTTAATAGCCATATTTTTTAATCTTTGTTGCAAACAATTTAACAAATCATGCACTGTTTATTTTTTTTCTTTTGTTCCTTTTTTCTCCTTTGTAATTGTCCGTACTATATTCCCTTTTAAACACCCAAATGGGCTTATTTAATTGTTGCCAACTTAAGTGCTCTCTTTAATCCAACTTTCAAAACAAACTCCAGGCTCCAGGACCTGTTGATTACACACTATACATGTATACAGCAGGTGACGTTTATTTTTCTACATAATACACAAATATGGTAAGTACACACGACTGTGTGACAGGTGTAACATACATAATGATCTATTATTATGCTGGCTAGTGAATGGAGTTAATTAACTGGGTTAACACAGTATGGTTTGTTTGGTAAGTGACAAGATAATCTAAATTTTCGAGTGTACCCTTAAAAATTAACAAAATAAACAAACAAACAAAAACAACAACAACAAAAAAAATCAAAGCTAAAAAATTCTGCTGTTATTTAATTTCTAACCAGATTAATATTATTTGCAGGATATGTCCCTTTTATTCAATAGTAATGAGAAATGGATTTGCTCCACCCCTCCCTTCTTTGTGCATTTAGACTATCTGACAAGTCAGGACCAGTAAATGAAATCTTAGGTAGTCATCAAAGCAGGTGGTAATCATTGATTTCTATACTTGTAGTGTAAATTGCATTTTCAAATAACCATGAAATACTAGTATTGAGACTAATTCATTCTATTTTCTCAAAGGGCTAGATCTGTCAAGTAATCATATTGTATATATTTTTCTCAGATCACTTGTTTTATTACAGGTATTGTCACCTTTTTCCAGACATTGCCAATTTCAGTAAATAAGGAACAAGTTCAATTATTTTGTTTAAAGATGAAATAAATGTAAAATAAACAACAACAAAAGTGTTACATTGTATGTCTGTTATTATTTGAAATATTAAACCAGAAAAACATTTGCCTACATATTATAATTTGTCTAAATACAATGTACAGTATATCATGGCAGACTATATACTGTGTATTGCTATACTCAGTATGCTCAAATTTTGTAACAATTGCAATTTCAAAAAAAAAAAAAAAATCCCCTACCTACCTACCCACCTCTTGAACTTAGGGTCGGAGCACTACAAACAAACAATTTTTTAAGGATGGCCTAATGGAAATATTACATAAGAATTTGTTAGTAGTTTGATTGAAATGTTTTATTTTATACATAAAAAAATTGTCAAAAGTGGGGATATTTTAAGACATAAAATGCACATTGATGCTTTCTTGAAACAATGTTTTAGAAATTTGTTAATAGACCTGTTATATATCAAAATGCTTCTTTAAAACAGTCAGTGATTTAGACGGTATTCAATTGGCTCAGATTCACAAAGCTATATACTTAATGGCGTTACACAAATCATTATCACCAACATTATCAAAGGGTTATGTTGGTCAAAGGGCTATTCCAGCTTGTAGCTCAGGGGTTGCCTTTAAGGGTTGAGGCATCAGAATTGCAGCCCCCCTTTAACCCTCAGTGATTGTAAAAGGCAACTAAATGGGTTAAAAATACTGAAGTCTATGAGTTTATGCATCTCTTAGCTCCTGTGTGAGGTGGTTTCGACCCTTGGTGTTGTTTTAAGATTGTAACACCCAAGGTAAGCCGGAGGCATCTATCCTGTTTTGGCGCCATATGACCTTAATTGTGTTGGTGCGCCGTAAAACCAAACAAAACAAGCAAGTAACGAGTTATCACCATTTTAGAAAACAGGATTTCCAGCCTAATGTCATGAATCAGGATGAAGTTTATTTGTATGTTATGTGAATTTAAGTAAACTGCATGTGTTTTGTCATTTTATCAGGCATTAGAAGAAAAAAGTCAGAAACTTCTTATGGAATACAAAGAAAAGCTTGAAAAATGGCAAGGCACGCTATCCCCGGAGGAAATGGACATTATCAGGACAGAGAAGAAAGAAAAGAGAGAAAAGAAAGCAAAGAGAAAAATTACAAAAGTAAAGTAATCTAGAGTTAGTGTGCATAGAGCTGTCATTGATAAAAAATTAAATTGATGTATTGTCAGTATTCTTCTGTTAATCAATAATCATAACAAATTGAAAAAATCAATGTTTTGGACTAATAAAATGTCCTAGAAATGAGAAAAATTCACCCAAAACATATACAGAAGCAGGTGCCTTGTCCAAACAACATGGCTTAAACTATGCTGCTGTTATGTTATAGACATATTTCAGTGATGACAAAACAAAGGTCAGGAAAAAACATGCAGGGGCATTTATAATCAATTCACATTATAATTGTATGCACAGGACATTTATTTATTTTACTGAAATCATGAAGAAAAGTATGAAATATAGATAAGTAATACAAAGTATATCAATGTATCATTGACATTTGTTATCTAATGTCAGTGTTTTTTTTCTTTATATAACTACTACCCTAAAACGGTACCATTCCCAATAGAAAATAGACATTAAAATTCCCAATTTCCAATGTTAAATTCCCAAAATGGCTGTTCAAAATGCCCACAAGGCCAAGTGATTTTTCTAAAATCATTTAAGGTGACAACGGAGTCAATTATCACTGAAAATTCCTAAAATGAGATTTTTTGCTAAGTAGATTTATCAACCTTTTCTGAACACATTCGTGATTTAATTTTGGAAACAGTTAGTCCAAAAAGTGTTTTTAAACGTTTTAAAAGGGTACCTTTACTATTTGTATCTGCTATTCGCGTAACCTGTCGATTATCTATAACGCTCCGCCCCCTGTTGAGGCATCAATGAGGGAAATCGGTAGTTCCATATATCCGTGAATTACAGGTCCATGTGGTCCATACTTCTCGTAATACACGTATCGTACAACTACCGTACATCTTTTATGAATATCTCAACATTTAGCCTTTTTTATAAATTAAGAAATTGTCGGCCAATGTACGTAACATAATGTATGAAACATAAATAATTAAGCATAGCGGCAAATCGCACGACCACGGGGTTGATTAAAAATGTAGTTGCTAAAATATCCATAATGTGTGAAAATAATTTGTCTGTCCCGTTAATCTGATAGATATTACATTGAGTTGATATACTTTTTTGTACGGATTCAAGGGCTTACTTTACATTCCACCTCGTTTTCTAACAATGTCAAGTAAAACAACAACATAAAACAGACAATATTTTTTATGTGAACGCCTATATATATGACTTGTGGTAAGGTGTCCCTGACAAATTTCTAAACCATTTTACATTGTCTAAGGATGATTATTTCTCTATGAATAAAAAAAAAAAATATTAAAATATATTCTCAGTGAAAATAAATTGTTCGCCAGTAAATCGGACACAGTACTAATAAATCTGGGACAAAGTATGAAATTTATTGTCTATCCCGGTAGAAACTAGATCTCTCTGGATCATAGATGATATTCATGATAATAGAAGTCAAGTAGGCCAGATCATAATGATCGAGTAATACGTTTTATTTCTATTAAAATATGTGAAGCATTATCAATTTGGTGGAAAAAATATACAATATCCCGTTCTTATTTGTACATCTACCATGGACTTTAAAAGACTGTCAGAAGCTCAGTTTTTTTGTTATTTTATTCTATATTTTAACGGAATTTCATACACGAATACACAGGCATGCAGAGTGACACTGGTATAATACAATAATAATGCTGATCATAATAATAGGAAACAATTAAATACCCCGCTAGCAGTGCGCAAACGCGTGCCATTTCCCCCCCACTGAGTGCCTCAAATTTTACCAATAGTCACGTGACATGTGCGACAGATACCAGACGGACAGTAAATCACGTTAAGAATTGAAGAAATTTCGGCTATAAACTGCAGCAGCTTTTTAATTGGTCAAAAATCACTGGGTCATAAAATGTTGTTAGAGTATGTTACCGCAACTTGTGACCCTCTCTGGTGCGATATTTGTGTATTATGCAATTATTTAGCGTGAAAGGTAGGGGTCCGAGAGAGAACAGCCAATTTATGACACTTCGTTTGATGCAGGTCGGACTAGCTTTGAATCGGCATAACTTTTTTAATAATCAAGCAATTAACATGCGGTTTAAAGCACATGAAAGGAAATTCATTTACGGAGGGAACCGTGTCAGGGATTTATGTTTGCTCAATCAGCGACTTAATTATCTTTAATTACGTAATATGTATGGTGAAAAAAGTAGCATAAAATGTTTAACGTTACGTAATATTTTTTTGAGAAAAGATAGAAAAAATTTGAGACACGGTTCCCCAGATAATATAAGTATGGTTATTTTCCAAAAGTTTGATGACAAAAAAATAGAAAATGACTTTGATATGACGATTTAAAATTTTAGGATTTTTATTCAAAATCAATCATTTACAAAGGCATTTTTTTCAAATATGTTATTTTTTATGATGATCAACGACATTTAATGCACAAAGATTAAATAAATAACAATTATTACTAAAATAACTTGGTTTAAATGACATTTATGTGAGTACCACGGAAAGTGTCTGTTGTCACCTTAAATCCAACATATATTCATATAAATTACCACTCAATAGTTCTATTTTGACAGTAGAAGCTGTTAGCTATCTTTATTCATGATGTCTAATCTCATTTGTAGCTGAAAAATGCATTAAAAAAAATTCCCAATTTTAGACAAAATAACGCATTTTTTTCCCAATCAGTCCGGTACCGGCACCATTCTCAAAGTAAAGAAAAAAAAACGCTACAATATAGATATATCGACATAATACTTTTGACTGAGTCAATGGCAGCTGTAGTCATAAGTTTTAACATTCAAGTCACTTATTGTGGTATCTCATTTAAAGTATGTACAGTACAACCTGTTTAGAGCAACACTCTTAGACAAAGATTTGTAACTTCACTGACATGCTGTTGCTATAGAGAACTTAAATTTATTGTAAAGTCTTACTTTATGGATGATTGAAAATATTTAAGCCGTGCCATGACAAAACCAACATAATGGGTTTGCGACCAGCATGGATTCAGACCAGCCTGCGCAGTCTGATCATGATCCATGCTGTTCGCTTACAAACCCTAAATTACAAGTAGAGAAACTGATAGCAAACAGCATGGATCCTGATCAGACTATGTTGGTTTTGTCATGGCGCGGCTCAAATTTTATTGCTGTACAGAAGGGAACTTTGAAGAGGTTTGCACTGTACATGTATTTTCCTTTCTTTTTATAATTAAGAGAATAGATTATCTTTTTCTGCAAGTTTGATAAGTTGAACCTTCTACAAATACCACTGACTTTATTGATTTAATGGTCAGTGCAAATAAAACACTTGCCTTTAATTTATTAAGGGAACACAGGAAGAGAAAAGAACAATTTGTTGTCATAATTTTGAATGTGCAAAAATGTGAATATAAAGTAGAAATTAGTTATAATTGTTGTAAAAAAGTAGTATTTCAATATGTTTGCAAATTGGATTGGGGGGTCTAAATAAAAGCAATAAGTTGATGGAAAAACAACATGCTTTTAATGTTAGGAAATCTGCAGTTCTCTTCTTAGGTCATACTATATGTATGAAAGCCTTTGTAATTGAAGCTGTTGCTATTGCATTGCTTTTGTCTATGAATATTTGGATGTACAATTTTTTATGTGTGAATTGCATTCATTTTTAGCTTCAGCGTGACAATGCAAAACCAAAGCAAAGTTCTTCAGCATTTCTACTGTATTCCATAGATCAGCTAAAACGTGTCAATTTACAATCCATGTCCTCCATGGAAAAATTGGAAGCTGTAAGGAAGGTAAAATTGCATTTATATCTTTCTTAATGTTATCATTTTTTGCTTGATTTATTGATTGATTAATTGATTGATATGTTGGAGTTATTGTCACTTATTATGTTAACAGTAATTGAATTAGGCACTTGTTGCAGGTAACCTGATGAGTGCTCTCGGATACTTATGATTTTATAACTATAACTAAGAATACTATGAGAGTTATTTGAGGTCTTATTGATCGGCTTTGGCCAAGTGGTTAAGGTTGTTGACGTCGAACCACTTTCCCCTCACCGCTGTACGTTCAAGTTCTGCGAGAGACTTTGGATTCTTTCATGTGAGGAAGCTATCAAGCTAGCTTATGTAACATTGGTGGTTCTACTGATGTGCCTGAACTAACGCATGAGTGGGCACCTTAGGTCTTTCTCCACCAGTAAAGCTGAAAAGTCGCAATATAATTTATGCTGTGTTGGTGTGACATAAAACCCAACCAAATATTCCACCTTTAACTTAACAGACACATTGACGGAGGGCAAATTGTGTAGCAGCCAAGCAGGTATTTTCTCCATTTGTTGAATCTGTGCTGGACGATGTTAATTTAATGAAAGACGGTGGTATTACTCATGTACCAGTACCTGCCTAAAATTATTACAATTACATAAGGATGTTCAAGGTTAGCTTCCCACCCCTACACCAGCCAGTAAAGCTGGACAGTGCAAGTCAGTGTGACTTTATCTTGGACAGTGCCAGTTTGTGTGATTTGATTTTAAAACAAATTCTAAGTGTTTAAATGTCACAATATCTTTGGAAGAAAGCAAATTAGACCAGGAAGAAAACATTTCTATAATATTCTTTTTCAGAATATGTCTGATTGTTCAAAGAAATGGAAAGATCTGCCATCAGGAGAGAAAGAGGTAAGATTAGAGATTGATTTTAGATTGTTTGTATCTTCTTTGGTTTAGATTTTGTTTGTATAACCAGGACGTTTTCTCCCTTTCACCAAGGGCACACTGAGAATATAAGACAGTATTAGTCAATACAACACTCCTTTCGTTTTCATCAGTCCTCTTCTACACCTTGTTTCTAGGGGCATTTGACCCATTTGTCTGTTTCCAATAACAGTAGTTTTTGACTTTTAGAAAGATTTTAAATAAACTTAAATCAAATTAAAAGCACAATAACATAATGTGTATAGTTTCATCAGCCAGATTTTACCCTCACAGTCTATCAAGGGTTAAAAATCTACAGTCATGTCCATTGCAGCAAGGGGTGTAGCTATCCTTCAAATTGCTGTTACATTTTAGTTTTATTCATGTTTCTGTGTTTGTAGGGGAGGGGGCAGGGGCAGTTGGAATGAAAGACTTTCTATACTTGTATAACTTTATAAACAATCATAGCTACATAACAATGATATTTAAACAAAGCTTTTCATGTACATGACATCAAGTTCCTCTTGTACCTTGTTTAGCTAAATTTTTGCTAAAGACATCAATAAGATTATCAGGTGATTTTTTTTTACTTTACAAAGAATAAAATATCGAAAATATATTGAATGAACACAAATATTGTGATTCAGGTATACAGCAAGAAGGCAGCTGAAGAAAGAGAACTGTATGAACTTGAGATGCAACAATGGGAGCTGAATATGATTGAACAAGGTAAAAAGAACCTAATTAGAAAAAAGACATTAGCAGATCATCAGAGGGAAGAGAAAAAGGCAGCTAAAGAAGCAGAACCTAAAAAAGAAAAGGCAAAAAAGGAAACTGAATCTGGAAAGAAAATGCCGTCCAAAAAAGAAAAGACAAAAGAAGTAGGACAAAAAGATGTTAAGAAATAAGTTTGGTTTTTCAAAGGTTAAAAGGGATTTAAGATGCCAAGTAAATTGAATGACATGCCATATGTGTAATTTGTCTTTCATAGGACGATGAAATTGAAAGACGAATCTTAAATAAAATGTGTCAAAAAAAGATGTCGGTGATGAGCATGGGTGAAAAAAAAAAATCCAGATTACCTCTGAAGTCAGGACTTTCAGATTCTTAAAAGTGCTCTGTTACTATTTTTCCTGTTTAAAACTTGCTCTTTTTTTTCTTTATAAAAAACCTATCAAACAAATGCTGAATTTAGAGTTTAATAGATTTTCGAACAATTACCCACATACCATCAAAGTATGATACATTATGTGTTCAGCTTCAGCTTTTGGAAAAAGGACCAAAAATGTGTGTACACCTATCCCCTGGTTTCCCCCAAGAATGAGGTGCTTTGTTGTTGTGTTTTCTTTTGTTTTTTTGTCTGTTAATGCATGTGTATTTCATATAGCTTTGTTAATGAATCTCTACTAATCTAAGTAAAGATATGTTTTGATATACAGTCACTACATTTTTGTGAGTGATGCTTTTTTATGCTATTGTCTTGGGCATGAAGCCCTATATCATTAAGTATTAAACTTACTCAAAGTTCTGGTTGCTTTTATCCCTCTAAACATTTTTTTTTTTCTAACTAACTTTAATTAAAAATATAAAAATCTTATTTTTTTATACATATGAAAGAAAAAGATGTCAGCAGATAATAATGTGTTAAATAAAATTTAAAAAAAGCAATTAAAATGTATATGAAAATTCATTATTGGTTGTTTTTCTGCTCTGTTTATTTTCAGTTTTGCGCCCGGAAAAATCTTACTGGGTTATTAATTTGTGTTGAGGTCTCCATGTACAAAAAGTTTTCGATTTCAAAATGATTTGCCCTCTACTGTGGGTTTAAAGACTGCCAAAGAAAGAATCCTTTCAAAAGAATAAGCTGGCTAGATAATTTATACAAGTTTGGATGTTCTGCTCAAGGTCCCACTGTTGCCTACAAATAATGTACAGTCGACTCCACTTATAACGAACTCGCTTATAACGAATTATCGGTAATAGCGAACAAAGTCTGAAATCCCCGGCCGATTCCTTCTTTATTTTATATTTAATCCAATCGCTTAATACGTACTCGCTAATAACGAATTTTCGGCTATAGCGAACCATTTTTTTCAAGTCCCAAACGGCGAAAAACATGTAAATTTCGTCGGTTATAACAAACTGTTTTGATTCAAATATCGGGATGCGCTCGATTAAAGATCAGTACATAAATACCGCTATTCGTAAATTATTCAATCGAGTGAATGTACAGGTAAGTTATGGCTTCAGGGAATAAATATTTTGGTAAAATGTTCTCACAAAATATTGCAAATCAATGTTACGGTAATTTTCGCACCCTTAGTAATTATAAAATATATTACAATAAAAAGCTGCTAATGCCCGAAAATGACCAAAAAATCGATTTTCTGTATGCAATGTTAACCAAACAGTTACAAACAAATAGCAAAATAAGTGTTTAAAAGCTTATTTAAATGCAATACAAACCGCAAGTATAATACAATTATTTAATTTTCCAGATGTTACTTGAAACAAGATTAAATCCGTCTGAAACTGATATTGTGAATCAAATTAGAATGAAACATTCAAAAGATCAAGATACCAATTCGTCCAGCGATGACAGCGACGTACAAGAAATTCAGCCAGTGTCTGTCTGTGAATTTTTTAGTGCCATAGATACTGTCCGAACATGTTTGGGAGATCGCGAGCCGGATGAAAAACTGTACAAGTGTTGCTCAGAGCTTTAGGCATTTCGTTATGAAGCTTTGAATGAGAATAGAAAACAATCCAAAATAACTGATTTCTTTCACATGTAACTTTTATCACGTCCCTAAATTGTAATATTAATCCGTGCTTTATAAACAGTGCATTAATACATATATATGTAGATGCGTTCATGTAGTTCAAAACTTTGTTTGGATTAAATGTATAAATTATGCATATAAAATTTGAAACTTTTGTCTACAATTAATCAAATACATGTACATAATATATTGTTAAATAAAATGTCCCGCAACAAATAACCGCTGCCGTAATATAGCAATATCATCGGTGACAGATATGGCTTTTTCCTGGCAAACTTGCCCGCCCACACAAATCAAGGAAAGTTTTGTTTTTTTTCGAAGCGAACTTCGGATATAACGAACGATATTTTAATGTCCCATTGAGTTCGTTATAAGCGGAGTCGACTGTACATAAGAGTGCCTGAGGTCTTCTTCCACCAGTAAAACTGGAATGTTGTCATATGACCTTGGCATTGTTGATCATGGGCACTAGAGGACTTCCTTCTAGTAATGCTGGAAAGTCACCATATGACCTTGTGAGTGTTGGTCTCACAGATAGGGTAAAAAACTAATTTACGATATATTTCAGTCTGAATTGGCTGTTTTGTAGATTATAAAGAGACTAGAACTCACCAAGACATTCAACTGAAATCTTGATAAGAAAGAGCATTTTGCATAAATACCTTGTCAGAGTGAAGTTTTTAGTGCAAGACACCAGTATACTATTTAACTAAAAAATAAATGTTTTTCAAAAAAAGTATACTTGATAATTTCATTAGAAAATTAACTTAGTAAAAAACATGTTTTGGATCAAAGTACACTTATTATAACCCTTTACCATGACGAGACCAGATAGCAATTGTCATTATGTTCATAGAATTTTTGAGGCGGAAAACACAAAGTCTTCTCAAATGTTCTTCTGGTGTATTTGCCTTTGGAAATAAGAAAGTCTAGTGTGCCATCCATTTGGCAGTGGCTCTTGTGGAGAGACAATGTTATTCAGTAATTTGCATTGATGATGATGGATTTTAATTCACAATGACATTTTTAGCTCAACAGAGCCGAAGGCTCGGGGTGAGCTATTAGTATCAAAGGGGGATACTCCGTCGTCATGCGTCAACAATCATCTTCTTCTCTGAAACCGCTGGACAGATTTACTTCAAATTTGGTCTGTAGCATCCTTGTGACAGTCACACTTAAATTTGCTCATGCCATTTCAATTGGCCCCTTTTAGGGGTCATCAGAGCTAAAAATAGAAAAACCTTTAAACATCTTCTACTACAGAACTAATTGATGGATGATCACCAAACTTTGTCTGTAGCATTCAAGGGTAGTCTTTGATCAAGTTTGCTCATATTAATTTGATTGGCCCCTGTTAGGGGTCTCTAGGGCTAAAAATAGAAAAAACCTTTAGACATCTTCTACAGAACTAATGGATGGATGATCACCAACTTTGTCTGTATCATTCTTGGGTAGTCTTTATCAAGTTTGCTCATATCAATTTGATTGGCCCCTTTTTAGGGGCTGCTAAAGATAAAAATAGAAAATTACCTTAAACATCTATATGTAGAAACTAATTGATGGAATGATCACCAACTTTGTCTGTAGCATTCTTGGGTAGTCTTTTATCAAATTTACTCATATTAATTTGATTGGCCCCTTTTAGGGGTCTCTAGACCTAAGAGAATAGAAAAATCCTATTTAGCCATCTTCTTCTACAGAACCAATTGATGGATGATCACCAAACTTTGTCTGTAGCATTTCTTAGGTAGTCTTTATCAAAATTTGATAGGCCCCTTTTAGGGGTCAAGGAGCTAAAAATAATATAAACTGTAGACAGCTTTTTCTACAGAATTATTGATGGATGATCACCAAACTTTGTTATTAGCATTCTTATAGTAATCTTTTATAACTTATCTCATATTTATCTTGATTGGGCCCTTTTAGGGACTGCTAAAGCTAAGATATCCACAGACCATGGCATTTCTTCTTCAAATTATAGTTTAATGGAAGGGAAACAACTCATGTTGGAATTTCTTTCATAACATGTGAATGACCTGCTGTTTGCTGATGAAATTATTTGAGGTCATGACTCTTATGAAATAACTCTGATAATTATATAAGGACTTAGTATCAAGCTTTATTTTGTTCATTCATATTTACTTTATTACATCACAAGCATGTGCAGTGTTTTCTCTAAAAAGCTTTTTCTGCGTTTTTTAGACGCAGTACATTTTGCATTTGACTCGGTAATATCAATGGCCGGTGTTTTTCCTTGACGCATATTTTTGCATATATTTTTTCTATAAATAGCATGAATTTCATCAGCTGATCGGTCACATGATTTATCTTAGACGCTTTAGTGAATATTACACGTTAAAAGCTCAGATTCTGACGTCATTATCCGGGTAATTCACAATGTCAGCTTCGATAAAATAGCAGTGAAGATTGACTTCATTCTTCAATAAAACAATGTTAACGCTTGTGGGCCGACAGAATCTACCGTAAACAACTCTGGCGCCTATACAAATGAGGTTTCCCAACGCAAAATCAATCGGCGAATGCTGAAACAACTGAGAAATCAAGGAAAATGATAAATTTTGCTCCGTTCGATAGTATGCCGTTCGAAGCGAGTTTTTGGTTGCGGTATGATGGTAATAAAATGACTTGCACAATATGTATAACTGAAAATAAAGACAATCCATTCACATGGGGATGCACAACTTTTGTAGTACCGTATGGACTGGTTACGGGAGTTGACGAAAGTTTGGAACTAGTGTGTTAGGCTTGACAGTTGGGCGCCATGTTAGTGTAATTTATAACTAGAAGAAGTAGGCAATTCCTAGCTTTGCTACGATCCAGACGTGAGAGGTAACGCGATTGGTTGTATTGTTTACCAAAGCTCCATTATTTTACCGATTGGGCACAAATTTGCCCTCAAATAAAAAGTTTGTTGTCCCATACTGTTAACACCTTACATATTTTGCATGATTCATTCACAAAAGTTATAAAGAAAAAAATTTAATGTTCCATCAAAATTAACCCTGATGTAGTGGTCATTTATCAGGTCTAGGATTTCATGATATTTATGGACTGTCCGTAAATTTATGGATAGTCTAGGAATTTAAAGATAGTCTAGAAATTTAAAGATTTTTCAATCAATAAATTAACAAATCTAGAGTGGGTGGACCAACGCTCGGCGTAAAAATACTGTATTTGATATGGCAAATTTAAATAAACGTCAACAAACCTCTATGTTATATGTCCATTTTCAAGACCGATGATATTGTTTTAAATAGCCATTGTGTAAAATTCGCTAATCACATAATGATGTGCATGGCTGGAGCTATAGATAGTCCGGATAAACAAGAGTGGTTTGCGTCTAAATTGTACCATAGCTCGGCGTACAATAACTACATGATGCAGGATTGTTTTTTCTAATAAAATCTCTTTTTTATCTTATTGAAGAAAAACATATTGAATAAATTGTAACAACCAAATTAGATTCATATATTTGCAAGTACCCAACTTTTTAGTTTAAATTTTACAGCCCAGAACTCTAGTGATAAAAGATTTTAATAATTTATATGTTGGGGATTACATACGGTTGTTTGTCTGCTATTAGCATTGTCATGTGACTTTACCAGCAGTGAACCACACCAGAAAAAAGTGGTGAAAGATGTAAATAAAAGCACCAGTGACCTAAATCTGAGATAACTCGAGACATTTTCAGATACTCTAAAAAAAAAATTTTTT